GTCCGCTTATGGAACATACACTGCAGACAAAGAACAACAGTATCCAATTCGCATGAAGCTACTCAAGGAACTTAAGAAAACAGTCTGTTTAAAAAGACTTATACTGCTGTGATGAAGCATCAGCTGATAAAAAGTCATCAAGTGCCTCCTTAGCAAGGTGAGAGGTCTAGAGGGTATACTGGCAGAAATCAAAAACTTATACATTCGGTTCGATCTAGAAATCATGGTCTTGATCGAAACATTACAGATGAAAGGTAAGAATGCAAGGCATAACACTTCTCGATACAATATGGTACACAAAACGGGAGTGAAGTGGTAAAATTCATTACTGGTCACTTTAAAACCATGAGATCGTTCAGTGTTAATTTAACCGAGGTGACAGGATCATGCTAGTGTGGCTTCAATTTGGACTGCACAGAGTATTTGATTATGGAGATACGTAGGTCCCTTACAGGTTCTAAAACCCCAGAGGTAGAGATAATATGGATGATACCATAGCAGCCACACCTGGAGTTTGACCAAATGCTACTACCTAGAAACTTTAGCACATAATTCCTAAATCCTAGAGTGCGGAATACTGAAGTGAGGTTGCTATGTTAAGCCCACATGACGTATTCTGGCCTGCGGACAAGCCAACATGTTCACTCTTCCTGAGCTATATTTTTCCCTTGTTATTTATTCGCTTATCAACCTTGATTGTTTTTATAATAGTGTATGTGTGCACTTCGTAACTTATCACATATCTGTAACATACTTTTGTCTGACTATAAATATCGATGAATTTTTGATTTAATCCAGTTGGCTCACAAACCTTCTCTACTGCACATCATTTCATTTTGCTCTCTTACCTTCGCATCGTTCCTCTAATTGTCTGTCCTGATCAGTGAGTGCACAAAATATAGGTATTCAAAACTTCATTCTTGTATTCGGTTTATTTTGTTCAGTTACGCACTAATGCGAGTTCAGTCGGTGATTATATACGAGGATAGACGACATATATTTCGACAAAAGTCGTTCATATGATCTAATTGGAGTCAAATATTTCGTCTTCGAAATACATCCCCTACAGATTGCTTCTACTAGCAGCTTATCACATCGATTGCATCATTTGGAATGCTATTCAACACAGTGTACCTCAGCATGAGTGCACACCAGTAATGCAAAAGTCCTAGGTTAAACAAGGCACGTGACGCTTTCTGCTGACTAACGAGGGAGCCTATCGCGAGTGGATGGTTTCCCTGAAGGATTATGAACATAGCTCTTACTTGTCACTGGGGATATGATGAAAAGCCTAAGTCTGAAGCCACAGATGGTTCAAAACCAAGCTAGCAGCTAATATGCAAACTGATCCCAGATATCTCAACAGATTCATGACAAGGAAAAACCCTACAAATGCCAAACGACGAAGATATTACAAACTTAGAGATGGCGAAGACGTTTGATGCCTACTCCACAAACTGGAGACTGAAAGCACGATGCAACTTTCAACCCTAGCGTCATTTCAGGGTTTGGATGATAGTGAACTCTTTTTCAGGTTAGTATTAAAGACTTAAGTCCTTGCGCTCTGTAAAGTCACCAGGAAGAGATAATATCTGACATACAATCCTGGAACAGTGCGCGAAAGTCATTGGCACATCAATGTGACCTAATACGGAAAGAACACGTTGAACACTTTTCTAAAGCATTCCATGAGACAGTTTTGTCATTTATTTCTATCTTTTCCCGGTCTTATATTTTACCCTTTATTCAGGTCTCTTTTTAACCACACTCTATGTTATTCAGTCTTCCTTGTCTAGGCTTTTCTTATTTGATCTTGGTTAAAGACTTATCATTCAATACGTAACCTACTGTTGCATGTTTCTGGATCATTCACAGTAAGGTCGTGTTCACTTAAACCAAGGTCAAGGTGTGGTTGAGTGCATAACTGTTGCCATTTGACTATCTTCTCGAAAACGTTACTGGAATCCTTGCAGACAGATATCTGATCCCATCTTGTTGAGAATATTTATATTGATCCTCAGGTATCGAACTCGTGCTCATTAACTATCCCTTTTGTTATCTAATAGGTTGGTTTGTGCTAAAGAAACTCTTAACTGCATAGCACAGGCTGCACGGTTTGAGGTATTATGTGCTCTTTATATAATTTATTCTCTTTTTCAAATTAGGACTGTTTGAATTGAACGCAGAATTTGTGTTTTGATATAATTTATTACAAGCCACTCAAAAACGCTATAAAGAAGAAAGTAACATGACCTACTCGAATAAACTTCGTTCCGTTAGTTGTGTGGGTTCAAACCGATCGTTACATGGCCTATTAAGGGACTCATTAGATTCATGCCAGGTGGATGGAAGTAGTCTGCTCTCTTTACAATAAGAAAAATTCCAGCCACATTGCTTCTAGTATTATCGTAAGTAATGAAGGAACTGGCCAGTGCGCAAATGAGTAAATAAATTGATAAAGTCATCATTCTCGATGAAGCACTACGCGAATTCAAGAGAGGCAGGTCCGGTGTTCCCGACCCTTTAATAAAATAGAAAAGCTAGATGTCCTGATAATGCCATATGGTAATGGTTCACATATTAGTCTTCGGTTTCATGAAAGCCTTTGACACAGTGTCCCATGTACTTCTCAATGTGAAAGCTGCTGAGATGGGTTTAACTGACTCACTTCAATCTTGCCTTCGAAACTACATAAGGAACAGGCCGTTTTTTACCAAGGCAAACAGATTGTACACTATTTGAAGGGTCTCAACATTAAGAGTTCCACAAGGAAAAGTCTTACTTCTACTACTGTTCCTGATCTATATTAACTACATGTTAAGTACAAACGAATCGGCGGAACTGACCTGTTCAGACGATGCAAGAATCCCAATGTCCATAAAAAGCGAAAAGCATTCACATGAGTTTCAGAAGGATCTTACAACTTTTGTGGGGTGAGCAGTAGACAATAGGTTAAAACACTACCTATCGGAATGTACTATCATGAACATTCTGCCTTTGTTGACACAAAAGACGTAAACCCTATACGAAAATTAACTCCAGATTGTCACTTCAGAGAGTATTCTCGTACTTGTAACGACGGATAGCTTAAGGTACCGGCTCAGACTACATAAAAGATGCACCTAAGGCAAGTGCGATTTAGAGTTGTTCCTAACACTTTAAAACTTACGCACGGCCCCAACTTCAAGTCCACAACGTAGTTACGCCTCCTGTTCAAGAGAGATTTAGGTCTCACAGACCAAGTACAAAGCCAGGCAACTTAAAGGAGGATAGGACTCAGACATAAATCTAACAAAGACAAACTCCAAAATCCGGGATTATTATCGTTGAGCAAACTGAGAAATAAGAGACAGTCTGATAACAGTGTACAATAAATAAAGTACGTCAAGCCACTGCAACACCGGCATATCAAAGTATCACCACCACACTTCTCGAAGCAAACTTCGAAAGACTGCACGGAGATTTGAAATCTGTTCCCTTCCTCTAGCCGTCTGTAAAAAGTGAATTTGACTACAATACTTGACCGAGTTCATTCTTCTGACAGTATGGATCAAGACGACTTAGGCAAGCATTACTGTCGACCATCAATAAAACATACTCTTGAACGTTATGGTCATTGAACAAAATTAACTAAAAGTCGTCAAAACATGAATAAAACTAATGGATAATTAGTCTCTTGAAAAGAGTTCGGAAGGCTCACAATTATTGATTCAGTAGGTGCGCAGTTGAATTCAGCACTATCTGTTTCTTCAAATTATACTACCACCAAACAATTGACGAATAAAGCATGGAGTAAAAGTACTAGAAATTTATTTGTCCAACCTGATTAATAAAACCCAGAATAAACCGGAGGAGGGTGAAACGGTTTAGACCAAACCTAATCGTATTTTAGTGCAAACTTCAATGAATGATCAATCTTTACTAAATACCGTCAAGAGAACCAACTCAGCATGATCAATAATATTTAAAAGTAAGCTAAAGGAAGATTGACGTAGGTTTTTAGATCTCCATAATCCAGACTTTATTTCAAGAACAGAAAAGGCATTTCGTTTGTGGTTAAATAATGCTGTAATGGCAAATGAATTCCCGAAATCAGTAGCTTGGTAAGTCTCTGAAAGTTGATGATGACCGCATTAGTTCTAATAAAGTCATCTAGCTGAACGAGCTCGGTCATGCATCCACATCAGATCACGAGTGAGTACGCCATGCTTCACATCTCCTAAGACCACTAGCCAGCTTAGATTTGTCAGTTATCGATATATCTGTAGGTCAGTGAAATGTCACTGAGCCCTAGCCAAGTCATCCGGCAGGCGGGTCACTGAATATCGAACAGTTCATCGACCCTCGTCTGAGCCAAGAACAACCGACGCGCATTAGTATATCGTACACCATGGACTGACTCATGCGGTGGTGGTCACGCTTTCGACTTTACCTACTTTAACTAATATATTTCTGTAATGACTTCCTTTGTTTTGTACGGTCTTCAAAGCATCAATAGTACCTTGATGCGACGAAGAGGTAGTTCATGTTAGGTGCTGACCTTGAGGTGTGACTTCGACGTCAGCTGTTGGTCACACTACTCCCGTCTAACTGGATTAGGACTGCAATCATTCGACATAGATCATCTAAGTTGGTGATCAGCATATCGACTGTCTGTCAAATATATCTTGGAACCCCTTCGCTTCCAGTTTCTGATTTGCCTGGGTTGGCATGTTCTGATTATAAATGGTGTTACTCATGAGGCTGTTGTCAAACTCCGAATACTTGTGGCATCTTTAATTCTGTATCCCATAAAATTACAAATTACCCTAGTAAATGCTATAAAGCAAAGTCTGATGCTATGAACGACATTAATGAAAATTTCTTTCTATAATATTTTCACAAGCCAAAATTATTCACTGAAATAGTTGTTTGTTTGCTGTAGCTCTACAGATTTGACCTCGACAGGGTTGTTAAATGCTCACATCTAATCTCGTGAATGCATCGTATTAGTCTCAAGAATGACGTTCCTTTGCTGCAGAAGTGACTCGATTGATGAAAGTAAGCCTAAAAATTTTTCGTCCCGAATCTTTAGATCTTGCACTAAAACAGGCCAGAGTACTCATCGAGGATGCCGAAAATGTAAGATTGTGTTATATTTATGAGCGTACTTTAGTACCGTTCGATAAATCACAAGCTGGACAAACATAGTTTGATTATGTATGAATTGTCGCACGGTCTGCGTTTAACGATACTTCATCGAGCTTCCTTAGTGATATTGTTCTTGCTTCCATTCTTCGAATGGCCTTCCTCCCTGACAATGTCGTCCGATATCAGGTTGAAACTAAAACCTCCAAATCTACCATGTGGAGTCACAGAAGGAATAGAGTTTTTGTGTTTGTTGATCATATCTATCCAATCAATTTTGCTGGTGAGTTTCTACGCTCTGTATCCGTATAGAGATTCTTAAACTATAAATTACTATCTGTGAATATCACCAGTAATTTGTATTTATGATCCGACATCAATTCATTGATATCAATTTAGGGTTAAAATCTTGAGAGGAACGAATTGTATGCTTTGAGGGTTACTTAGTTTCTCGGTAATAACTCATGAATAATTAAATGGTCAAAACTATTTTTTCGTTTCCACTTTATTTTAGACGTTTAAAGACATTTTCTCATTGACAGATAGACGAATGTAAAAGACATTACTCTGCCTAACCTAGTTGTCCATGTAGTACACTCCAACGAAACTTTCGACGTTTTGAGTCATATAGAAAGTTAAGGTAGTAAGCGACAAAATAATAACAAGTAATGCCAAAACGAATTTTAATTGAAAACGAACTACAAATAAATTGAACTCAAAAGGTCAGTTTTCTTTTCGACATCAACGGCCTGAAATGGCACATAAACATGCTAAACAGTAGATTAGAACGAGAAAGGTGAATAACTTCACGATATGAAGGGTATCCTAGAATATACATGATGCCTTGATGCTGTATAAATGCAGAAATAGAAAGCGATGTCAGCTTGGAGATATTTTTCAGCGTAGATGGCGACAGAAAAAATAAGGAACAACGTGATAAGAGCTTTATTTTGTAAAAATAAACGTAGCATACTGAATGCAAATATAGCTACAAAAGTAATCTTCCAAACACTAGATGAAGTATAGATGAACTGAGATCACAAAATACTTAACCTTCTTGTAATTTTAAATCAAGTTTTACATTGAGCTTTATTCATCCGCTACTTGCCAAGATTTTGCAGTGTCACAAAAGCGACAAAACCGTTTTTACTTTATAGTTATAGATATTTTGCAACATAAACGAGTAGTTTCTTTATGCAGAATTCTAAACTAAAAAGCGTTTTGGGAGGACATCAGAAATTATCTAGTATAAGAGTGTGGACCACGTTTTGATAGAAGCCTGATGAAAAGCAAATTTTCAATTCTTTTAAAGTAATCAGTACCTGGAAATTGAATGTTTTTCTGTACATTTTATGCAGATTGTACAATATTCTTTTATAATCAGGTTTAACTTTATTCTATATATTTAATGTCAGGACGAATAAACGTTTTAAATTCAACATTATCGTAAAAGTTTAAACAACCAAAAGTTTGCTTAATGACAAGACTAACTATATTAGCGCTCAACAATCTGTTGGATAAATTCTCGAACAACAAACTGCCTACAGTTTAAAACATACTATTTAAAAATGTAAAATTACCGGCTAAACTACTGTATCATCCTATTACAAATCTTGTAATTAAGATATATATTTGTCATTGTCTAATTAAATTATTTCACTTAGATCATCTGTATTTGGCCGGTATTTATAAGTAATGAAGAAATAGCTAAACACAGTCAATCAAACAGGAACATGATATCATGATGAAAATAACTATTTCGCTAATCAGTGCATTAAGTTCTGGTGGGTTTATTAACCGTTTTATCTTACATATCTCGACGAATTCGTCGCTAGGGTTAATAGATAGACTGTTCACAATTAAACGTTTAACTGTATTTAGTTACATAAAAGTATTTTAAGATTACTAAGTACAAGTCTACTTACCGAACCGCTTTCTAAAGAAAAGCGAATAACGTTGGTAATTTTAGCTTTCAAAAAAGCTTTATTTTCATCTTTAAAAACTGTGCTCAAAGTATTCTAAAAAAATTTTTTCTGCCCACTGTCTGTAATCAAATGACTTGACAACTTTAAGTATTTGGACCATCTTGTATTTTAATCTGCTAATTAAAAAGATAATTTCAGATAAGTTTTTGTAGATATTAGAGTAGTTTAATAGTTAAGATCATGAGTCAGTTGAAGCTAGACCACCATAGAAAACCTGCAAGCACTGGACGGCCGTTTCGTCCTACTGTGGGACTCCTAAGCAGTGTGCATCCACAACCTCGCCCCCTGCGAGATTCGAATGCAGGACCTACTGGTTTCGCGCGCGAGCACTTAACCACTAGACCACTGAGTCGGTATCCAACGGTGTTAATGTCTAATTTCAAATAATCCACTAAATTGAGCGACACATCCATCATTATCATCAGTGAGTTACTATCTCACAACAGTTCAGTGCTTTCAGGTTTTTCATAGTGGCCTAGCTTCAAGTGACTCATGATCTTAACCATTGAGAAAGATAATTGTTTAATATTGTGTTTTGATATACACTCTGGGTGCACAAAATTAGCTAACTGACTGTAAACTGGTTTTATAGTTTTTTATACATTGCGCCAACTCTTTTGCATACAATTTTCTAGTCAGGAGCATTTGGACTTCCCTGGGTTCGTAAAAATCCGTGGTTAATTGGAAAATATATTTTCCTTGTTATTTATCTTTTGGATCTTATAGTTTCTTTGTCACTTCGATGCTCCGAAGTAAGATATAAAACTAGATTACACTTGAATATTATTTTATATAAAAATTTGCTTAAATTAAAAATATCTGAAAAATGACTTTAATATGGGCTATTTTGTATTTAACCAATATTTAATTCCGTGTACATTTCAGCCTAATGTGTTTATCTTAAAATAAATGCAGAACTCAATAATCAGACTTCCTCTTATACATATAATATATATATATATATGTTAACCACGGATTAATTAACGAAATTTTATTCACGTCAAATGTTTGTACTTATCATTTTTGATCAGCTTTTCACCGTCACCATATTAGCAGAAATGCTATTAACAGGTTACGAGAATCGGTAACTATAAATGGCGTCGTAATCAGTGCGTCCGGAAATCTGATGCGTATCTGAACTTCCGTAAGGCCTCAAAAATAGTGATCATAGACGCATCATGCACTTTTCTAATAACAAGCGCTAAGTTAAAGTTTCTTTCAAGCTTTAACCAGAATGGAACTGACTAAAGGAAACTTCGTCGCATATATCAATGTGAAAGTATCAGGCTGGGTTTGGAGTTTTGTTCAAATGTACAAAAATCAGTCTAAATAATCCAAAACTGAATTTGCCTTTAATTTGTGATTATTTGTTAAGGGCTGCACTTATTCAGTCCCTTTATGGCATATGTATCTCTTGTGAAAATTGCTTCGATATTCTTGTCCAGTAGCATAAGTTACTACTGAAAGTTGCCATCTTTTCCAAAATTACTTCTAGTATTCTCAATAATTTGACTTATGTAAGGAATATATATTATCCTCAGATCACACAAATTTATGCTTAGATACCAATAAACGTTTGTGAGTACAAAATTATTTACGTTTTCGGATTGAAACATAATCAATATTTTGTCCAGGTATTATTTATCAAATGACAACTATAGGCCACAAATAGACCAATTCTATTTTATATGACGAGCTTATTTTACCATTTGTTGTCTGATTTTACACTGTTCTAGTTTAAGCGAAACAAAATTAATCTAAATGTTTTTGGTTCATATAGTATTATCGCATTCGTCGTCTTATTCGGCCGTATTTTCTTATCAGTAGCTCACAATTAATGAAGAAAGTTTTAAAGTGTTACAGAAGAACACTGCCAACACTTTTTAAGTAAGCTGAAAACATTCCATTTAGTATTTTTTGATTGAGAGTTATGTGAATTCATTATAGTCTTAATAGCCCCTATTTTTTCATTCTGTTTTGTTAGTTGACGTGTTCCTAAGCTTTGTACCTAGGCTTCCTAAGTTAAACTATTAATTATCATTTGGAATTAAAAATCACCTGATCAATAAAACAAATAGAATAGTATTACGAATACGAGTATTGAAAAACGCAGAGAACACAACTTACCAAATACGCTCAAATTACTACTGTAATGATAGCTCAATAATGACTGTTTACCACTGAGTCGAAATATATTGCCAGAATGTTCTTCCTTTCCTAAAGTCACGGATAATCATACATTGCTTATCTGAAGAAAAACAGATCCGTGGAACATCATCAAAAGACGTTTGTTTCCTTGTTTAGATGAGTAATCAAACTTTTTATCCCCATAGTAGATATCAGTAAGTTATTTAAACCCTTAAGCCATAAAGACAGTAAAAATTAATGATAAAACAACATTTGTGACCCTATACACATTACAGTTAGACTAATGTTTGAGAGATTCTTTTAGCCAATATGTGATTTTGAAATGAAAAATACTTCCGGGAATTTTTTCATAATTTAATGTATGCGGATAATTGTAGCCTCTGAAAGATTGAAGATTTTTAATCAAATTAGTTCACAGTAAAGTGGAGAAACATGTTAGAGCTTAGAAGTGTAATACATCAGCATCAAACACTGCGATGAGTAAAGACGTGTTGGATTAGTTACTATAGCCAGTTAATCATAATATAAGTTACTGAGGAATGACCATTAAGTTCTAATTACTTCTCAAAAACTTTAACATTTATTCTTTTTTAATTTGGCCTCAAATATTTAATTTTCTATATCATCAACATATTACTTATCAAAATATTTAAGTAGAGAATCAGGTGAATGACTTTCGGACAGTGAGAGATATAATTACATATTGTCTCTAATATTTACGCTTATCATCAGTGTAAATTTCGCGTCAAATCACTTAAGTCATAAAGAGGTCAATTTTCCTTATGAAATATAAATTATGCCTTTTGAAGGAAAAAATCATCTTTTGACTTTCAAGTCATGTAATGTAGTTTATGAGGTTTATCTGTTAAAAGCATAAGCTAATAATGTTCTTGATCTACTTGTTTTTTTCTTTTTTAATCATTCACTTCGTGTACTACTTTCTTGGCGAAAATAATCAAGTCTTCTATTCCTGCTGGGATTTTGGTTAATTTCGGCTACTTTAGTTGCAATGTGCGTTTTCAATAAACCAAATCGGGATTTAACTAAGAATAGTGTAAGTTAAAATAGTATGTCTTTTAATGATAATTTGTCTTTGTAGTTCTTATTTAAGCGATAAATATTAAAAAATTATAACCTTTAGAATACAGCTAGAAAACGTTTTATATTTTGCTTAATATTGGTTGGAATCTCACCCGAAAAAGGTTAAGAACTACATAGAATCAAATGAAGGGCAGGATAACTTTGAACTGATTCCAGTTGTATGTTGATCAGTAATGAATTTCATGAAGCGACAACATATAACTGACCAGGAACCAGGGATTTCCTAGGTTCGATCCCACATAAAGGATCGACATTACCTATTTCTTAGAAGTCACAAATCGATGTGAAATATCTGTACCTAAATTTCTGATAATTAATAAGTTTGTAGCAGATATTAAAGTAAAATTTAATAACTGGCTTTAAGATTTCACTTGCATGGCATTGTTCATAGTAGTAAATTGGTGATCTAGGTAACTAACTCACTTTTTTTTGAAAGGTATAATTCTGTTTTATTCAATATCCAGGAGTAAATATTCAATGACTACAGTACTTAATAAAATCACGGAGACAGACTCACGTGTTTGGAAAAACTAGATTTTTCACTACTCCGTTTCAGTTTATCCAATACTTGTAACCTTACTAATAATATGTCAGTAATTTGATAGGAACGTATCAGAGTATTACAAGCTTTAGTTCCGACGAAAACAGTAACACTATCTAGGTACGTGTCAAAAGTATAAAAACGAAATATAATAAAGCAGTTCACTATATTATTATTAGTGAATGTATTTGCATAACTGTACTTTACATGATGTGAATAGGCATTTTCTAGAGGTTGAAAGCAAAATAACGAAAGACAAATTAAAAGGTTGTATAAATACGATATCGTTTTACCAGGTAATTAAAATGAAATCTGCAAATTAAAACTGAAGAAGATATTTACCTCTCTACGATCATGAATAACCTGTATTTGCTAAAATGATACATGAAGTCTTACTTCTACGCAAAGTTATAAGTGAATCGTAAAATTTATTTGCATTATTTGTCTAAGACAAGTTTTCATTTGTAAAATATATCATACATTATTACCCGAAATTGTATTGGATAAATGCCGTAACATTATAGTAAACATTAATTTACTCTTGGTAGCCATGTTAAGTGATTTGCTAATTTTTTACAGGTCGTCAATACCACAACTACTGCATTCACTGACTTTTATGATACATTATTCAGTCTTTTGGTACTTTTAACCACAACGAATCATCCTGATAGTAAGTCAAATGATTTCGAAAAGAAGTTTTTGTGTGGAATGTGTCTAGTGTTTTAATAATAGTTAAAAAGCAGTATAGATTTTTAAATTAAAGGTTTTCAATAAAAACAACCACTTCAAGTTTAGGATCATTTGTTGGTATCTTAGTAGACAGTTAGTTTTAAGTGACGTGGGAGTGTTCGTAAAATTTGAAATAGATTTTATTATTAACTAACAAAAGTCAGAGAATCGTTGTACAACAGGAGCCAGCGGACATTTTGTTCAAAAACTGAACTTAAAAGCTTCATATCATTCTCCGAAGATGGTATAGTTGTGATACTGATTTGAAATGTAACGGTTTACATTTTTTAATTTCAGTTAGCTGACGATATGGCACAATCCTCACCCAATATCATATGTGAATAAATGTTTCACATTTGACTGCTTTATTTCTACATATTTAAACTAAATTATAAAACGATTTTGAATATTTAAAAAAAAAGTATATATATATACATGAGTAGTACTTTTATTGAAAATGAGCGGTTATATCAATCCCAAGTTTTACATTAAATGCAACGATTCGAATAGTTTGGCACAAGGTCTCGTCATTCAAAGAATTTAGGTCAACCAAAATCAGTGAACTATAACATTAAAATCGACTGTACCTCAATACACTTATTTCTATTGTGTTTGTGGGCCTAGATAATAAAACCAATATTACAGTTCAAAACTTAAACATTTGAATCGTAAAAAGACAAAAAGGCATTTAGAATGGATTAGTGATTTTTGTAAAAAGAAGAGTTAAATAAATATGAGCAAGTGAAGTAAGCGATCACCATAAATGAAACTGCAAATTTTTTTACACTCGTTTGGTTTGAAACCATGGTGGTCTGTGAGTGTGTTTATACATAATACGACAATGTTAACAATCCACTCTTCTTTACAGTACAAGGTTTGTGTGATTGATAATATGAAGTAGTTATAACGAATTTGTTAATTTAATAAATGGTGTTTTATCAGGTGAACAAAGTTCATTAAAATAAAATATAGAAGAGAACACTGAACAAAATTTAAAAAATCATTCAAATCAAGTAAATTAACCATTCCGATTCTTGTCTTTTGAAAAGCAGAGTTTTCATTGAATATCGGGGAAGACGGTAGTTAAGATAAACTCAACTAAATTAGAAAAATTAATCAGTGAACACTGAGATCAGTTGAATCCAATGGACTCATCAGCATATAATCGAATTATATTATTATGTTATCTATAGTTAACGAAAAGACACAAATCTGTATTTCTAGAAAAATCACTAACCTAATGTTATTGAAACAGAGCTACATAAAGGGGCTTCTAGTTGAATAAACTCTGAGTGGTGACCAATGACACGTCTCTCCATCAAACCCTGTTGACTAAGTTGAACTGTTAAGTGGTATGAGATAGCCTGAAGGACACTTATGGTCTGGGTTTCGTTGTATTTGTTAACCGTGAGTAAGGTGTATCTGTAATCTGTAAGAACTGGTGCTCATGGAAGATTTAGAACTCTAAAATCTGAATCTCAGTTTGAAATGTTACCACATAGTTTTGTTAAAGTGACTAAATGTGTAATCTAGAACGTAAGTTTGTTTCTGTGTTCCGAAAATTCTGAATCAAGGAAAATGTTTTTAAGGAAAAGTACTATTAAAACTGTTTGTTAGTGTTTTGAACCATCTTGAAGAACATGTTAAATACAAACTAGTTCATAACGATGAATTAGGCAAAGATTTTAATCTTCATTTGACAAATGTCAATAAAATAAACAAACAATGAATGGTATTTTTGATTTATATTCAATTCTTTTTCCTTAATTCGTTGAAATAGTATTATCGTAATACTATGTTATATTTCTGTTTTATAGTTTTAATTCCACCATATAATGGGAACAGAGGAACAGCAATTTTCTCAATTGTTTATCTTGGTGTAGGATTGTATGTACTTTTGAACATTCTCACAGCTGCTGTATATAGTGAGTTCAGTGGTTATTTAATGGTAAGTAATTCAACTCCAAATTATAGAATATTAATTTATTCAATAGGTAAATATAATTTTGTTCAAAAATAAAAGCTTAGTTAGATATGTTAATCTAGTTGGTCTATTAACTAAACGGTTGATGTAATTAGGTTGAAAAACACTAGTCTTGTTTATGCTTAAAGTGGAAAATTATGAATCACTACTTAATCATAATTATATGTTTAAGATTCTTGATGGATACAATAGAGATATGTGATAAATTACTGAAGATATTCAGTTGTCATAAAAAACAATTTGTTGTTCATTACTGAATACATTTATTTTTATTTTCTCCATAGATTCAGGTTTTATTTTTGAAATAGGTATACTTATGGAGTAACTAAACTAAATAAACACTAGACATGATTGATTTCAAAAGTTATAACGTTTCTTTGTGAAAACGTAGCCCCAACAAATGAATAAACATCATATTCATATACTTTGTTAAAATCTAAATACCCTAATTGTCATTTAAGTTCATTGCATATATAATTTAATGAATAATTTAAGAAGGTTGAAAAAGAATGTTCGAATTATGTGAAATTTTGTTCAATTATCTATAATAGAAGAACTATCAACTAGCTTATATTGACCTTATTTTAGAAGGTTGTATAGTCAGCTTGTAAAAACAATACATTATTAAGCAGGTTTTATTATTCCCTTCATTTGCATTTCATAACTCACTTTTGAAAGTCTTCAGTACAAACGCGTTTGATGAGACGTCGAGTTGCAACAAGAGCAGCTTTTGAAGTATTAAAATATGAACATAAGTGAGTTTGGTTTTTAATGTTTTATTTTAAAATTAATTGTATACTATAAAAAATAAACAAAATTTGTTGTATATTTGCAACCTATTAAATTGAAAGTTTTTTCTAAAATGTTTTACTTTTGCCTGTCCATAACATTTAAACGTTTCCGAATCATGGAGTGTTCCTATATTTTAATCTTCACAAATCATCTGTTTATGGAATGATATGTAATCTGATTTTCATCATAGATCGGCATCAGCTCAGAAACCACATAAAGGGCAGGTATCATTGAACATCATTTTCATTTAATTCGACCAAATATTAATAAAGTAACTCCTAGTAAAGAAGTTCCAAATGGATTTAGAAGTTTTAGTATGAAATCCTAACCAGTGATGTTTAGTGATTTTCCAAAAGTAACAGATAATGGACGACATTCGTTCTTTATAACGGACTAAATGTAATTGAAAATGTGGTTCACTTAACTTTAACCCAGTCGCTTGAAAAAAGGACCCTCTCCATGAAACCTTATAGTCATAAACTCAGTCTCCAGCTACGAATTAAATTCGAACTGGTGATGAATCGCAAAATAAGATATAAAAACTAGCCAATTCTTCCTTGTTTTAAACTGTTTCCCAGGCAATAGCGATCCATTACAGTAACTACAGTTCTTATGGATACGATTTCCACAACTTATTGCAAGTAGACTGAGAAATATGCATTCATATTCAACTCTTTCAGCAGTTCAAATTCTTGAGTTTCCTGGAGAAATTAAACTTCATCAACACAATAAGAACACATTTTTTTCAGAAATTACATAAGATTAATTTACATGCATACAGATTATGTGTAATGTTTTGAAACTTTAGCTAATCAATGATAAGAATATTTTTATAGTAGAAATTAGGCTTTGTTTAAAAGCATTTATACAATTGAATTGTTTTCAAACATTTGCATAAATGGAAGAGTCTGACTATTTTTATGATAATTGAAAAGTACTTGTGTAAATATATAGTCATTTGAGTTCAATTCGATATTTTCAATTTATGTCAAACTTGATGAGTTAATTTTAAATTTCACTTGTAGTCATAATGAAAAATGTAATGGTTCTTCTTCAGTGTTATTGAATTGTTATTGACTTTTTAAAAGGACTTAATTTATATCATATAAGGGTGAAAAAAGTAAATTAGTGATCTGGAAATCTTATGTACCTGAGAATCTGGAGATTGTTGAATCAAGTTGAAATAGTTTATATCACTTATTTACTTTAAATAAAAAACCACTTAAAGTCAGGGATAGTTGAACATTTATTTTGTCGTAGTATGAAAATCTTCATCATTGTACATGAACAATCTTTACTTCAAATCACCAAATATTCTGATGATTTTGAGTTAAATCACAAACGAAACCATAGATGTCCATTCTTGAAGAGTCACATACTAGGACCAAACTACCCCACCTTTTGTAGATAAAGTCTCTAAAATTAGTTTAAAATATGAACTAATATTGATTTGAAGATCTTCAAATCTTCCATTTTAGTTTAAATTGATATTTCAGCTAAACGAATCATTCGACATATTATTAAGCTTTCATTAGTAATTAATGAATAGCTGAATAGTGTTTTATTATTTCACTTACAAAAGTTAGTGTAAAACATACGAGAAATCCCAAACAGAGATAATATTCGATAGTTTCTCTACTAATTCAATTTTATAATTTAGAGTTCTTTGAATTCCATTTAACGTTGATAATTACTTTCAATGTCTATTTTTATCAAAGAGCAATATCAATATATAGATAACTAGACCTGTCTCAAATAAACATAAATAAATCTAACAATGTATTTTATATGCCTAATCAAATACCAATGAAACAACTGACCAGGAAGATCATCTCTTGTCTCTCAGCTGTAACCGAGGATAGAGCCTACATCGTATGACTAGTGTACCTGATTCTCGATGAACTAATAATCACGCATTTTATCTAAAACATTTCGAAAAAATAAGTAAACTTAAATATTTGAAAGAATGAAGCAACAGATCTACAGGGAATAATATATATATATATATATATATATATATATATATATATATATATATATATATATATATATATATATATATATCAGCTAATCGTTAAATCTTTTATTTTAAAAAACTAATTTTCTTCATTATTATTGTAATTGGATCTGACCATGACACTTACATTTAATGTTGTTTCTCTTTTTTTAATTTTAGCGGCATAGAGCTAGTATCAAGTGATGATATAGTTGGACTAATTAAAACTGTTCACATAGATACCTGGAAGAAAGATACACTACGTCAGGTGAGTATTTTCAAGAAAAGTCTAAATTATTTTTATCAGTTTTGGTAATTCTGCTTTTATCATTGTCTACTTAGTCTCCACTAAAATATCTTCCTACTTCAATAATAGAATATTAGATGGTTCATTGTACTTTATAAATGATTACACTGCCTTATGGAACGAGAAAAATAATTTGATGTACTTTAGTGTAGAACCCAATGTTAAGTTAATAATATAAAGCTTAACTTGGTGAATAATTAAAATAATTTTTAAAAAACATATGAATGATCCTTTGAGATTCATCAGAACAACATTGGTCGTTTAGGATACTTAACAAAAGAAATAGGTTAGCGATAGATTATTGAGGCCTAAAATGTAATATCAAACAAGAAAATGAGAATTTTTTTCAAAAAAATGATTTATGTTCAAAATACTTCCGTTGTTATGTTTCTTAGAATGTATAAGTTTAAAATATTTTAGGTTGTTTTAAAACTAAAGTTGTATGACCTTATTGGATAACGTTGAATAAATACAAAATATCACAATTGATTGACCACTGAGTGGTGATCAATGTCATATATGTCAAGTACTTATTGGTTCAGATTAAATGCTATCGACCAAGTTGCAGTGTGGCCACCAGTCTAGGTAACTCGACACTGCATGCACTATGTTGAGATAAGATGGTGGTCGGAGGTAGTTAACAGGAAACCCTGGACCCGGGTTTCGTGCTACTTGGCTACTTGGTCGATAGCATTTGATCTACACTCAAAAGGACTTGACACATTACATTGATCACCACCCAGTGATCAATCAATTGTGATTACATCTCAGTCCTACAGGAGGCCGGTCGCGGATCAGTGGTAACGTCTCTGACTGTGAAGCTGAGCGACACGGGATCGAATCCGTCAGGAAGTACCAGTTCCCTCAAGATTACAGGCACACCTTGCTGACGAGTGCCAAGTAGCACAAACCCGGGTCCAGGGTTTCCTGTTGATTACCTCCAACCACCATCTACATACAAGATATATTCCACCCATCCTTAAGTAAAATATAACGAAATTTATGGCTTTCCTATAGTGAATAAATGGTTTATATATTTAATCTAGTAGTTATTTAATAAAATAATTTCACCATAGAGATCTTAAATTGTTCTGTAAATTGTTTTCATCTTCCATACCACCACATTCAAATGAACAAGAATGTAAACTGCAAAAAATTGATATATTTTAGTTTAAACAATTATGAAATCTAAATGTTTATTAATTGAATTAATGACGAAGATTTGTAGCTCTAGTAGATTATTTGATTGTTGTTGGGTGAACAGTTACAACTAACCAGTTGATGGTCAAAATTTCAGTAAAATTTAAAGATGTTTTTATGCATTTGCTTAAATTGATGAATGACCTTTTGTAAATATTAGACAAATTTATTATTCAGTAATATGCAAAGTACCTTCATTAAAACGATGGAACCATGGCTTAGCTGTTAAAGCGTTCAACTTTACACATTTAGGTCACGTGTTTGAGTCCACAATTACCTACTTCCGTTTAAGCAATCGAATAGTATAAGCAACTCTTATGCATAAAATATAGTTAAAAGCCAAATTCACGAAACTGTACTTGTTACCTTCCATACTTAAAGTGTTTATGTGAAAAGTGTGATGGTGATTTGAAAACGTAATAATGTACTTTTCAATGTATCCAGCATATTAATTCACAAGTCTGAAGTATAAAATGGATTGTGATATGAAAATCTAATACTTCTATTCATCAACATTTTGGGTAATACATTTATCGATGTGCATACTATTAATAGGAACATTCTGTAAACTGATAGATAAATTTTTAGTTTCCACTTCATTACGATTTAAATTTTTTTCTTACAAGGTATATTTCATGAGACATTGTCATGGAAATATTAATGCAAAACAATTTATGCAATTATTTAAAATATTGGATATATCGGGTCCAGCAAATCAGGTATGATGCATTCAACTATTGCCTACAAGAGAAATGTTTCTTTATATTTCTTATTAATACACTGTACACGAAAATCAACCATCGGATACTTTTTCAAGTTATACAATCATATATATATAGGATTTTGCCGCAGAAAACCAAAATACATACATACGTACAATTGTGTTTTAATATAATGGGAAATTTTCAGCGATTAAAATAAGAATACTCGGTTATATAGCATGAACGATGATAGAACACAGCTGTTTAACTTCTTCACTATGTGCAAATAAAAAGAATATGTGTTAAATTCTAGGTTAAAATTAGATTATGAAAAAGTCAATGAAATAATAACCTGATCAGATTCATTCGTTGTTTATACTTCATCGCGGAACATGCTCTTTAAATTCCATGTATATACATGCAGGATTGAGCAGTTTGATAATAAATTTGCCGTTTAGAATTCCGTTATTTGAATACTCTCAGGAATATTTAGTTGTTTAGTTATCACTATTTTCCACTCAATCTCCAAACAGTGTTTATCTGAAACGATTACTACCAGTAAATTATGTGAACAACTAGTTGGTTTCTCTCAACCAACATGGTTGGTAGCAAATTAAGACTCTGAAAACTGATTTCATAATATTATGATTTCAGTGTCAGTTAAAAATTTCGGCATGTGATCATCATATAAATGTACTGTGGATGATTTAATCAAAAGGAAGTTTTTTTGGCGTACTCTAAACTATTATTTCGTTACCAAATCTCAATTAATAATAAACGCTAATGGGTACGTTACTGTTTAGGTGTTATTTTCACTGCATTGTTAAATGGTACAAGAAGTATCCAACAAATAGTTGTATACTCATTTAACTACATTCACCACTTCATTAATTCATTTAAACTATGATTACATAAATAACATATTTTTCCTGTTGCCACAAGGTTATAATTAAGAAACTACAGATTTAAAAAAAGTCATAATGTTTACACAAAATGCATATGTATTTCAGAAACGTCCCTCTTTTTTAAAATGCTGTAAAATTTGATTGAAATATTAACATTCTTTGGAAATTATTTACATTCTGTCCTAACAATGTAACATCAAAATTTGATCAAAAAACATACTGTTTAAATTCAGTTAATCAACAAACCTAGTTATTTCTTAAATTAAATTAGCTAAAAAGATAGTCAAGTAGAGTATTTACAGTTTCTTTTTAACGTTAGTTTTGTATTTTATTCAGTCAATACCTGAACAAATACCATCTCTTAGGGTGGCTCGTATATTTCAAACATGGATTATGTCAAAAGGATTTGAGCTGGTTCGAATTATAATATCAGTTTTCAATGTAGTGTTTTTATGTGTAAGTTAACAAGTGTTAAATATCAATTAATAATTTTTTACTCATTCAGAACATAGTTGATTCATGAGAAATATTTCTGAGTAGAATGTTGAAATTTATTTATTCGTAAATTTCCTCTGCATGCATTTCATTCATCCACGAATCATATTTTTATGTTCAATTTTTTTTGCCTTGGTTTAATTGGGATGATTTTAATGTCTTTTGGTGGGGGGGCGGAGAGCGCGATCATGGTCCATTCATTAGAACTTGACTTTTATGCAACACCTACAAGTGCACAGGCTCTATGGCTAATGCCGCTTACAAAACATCGTGATTTTAGTTTTGTAGCGTTATCAACCAATACATGACTGGTTACCAATGTCTGTTAAAAATACAAGCTCCGAATGTATATCGTATAACTGAACCAAAAAATAAGGAAAAAATATCTAGTAAATAAATAGCAAATAATCCGATACCTTTATAATAAATCCACTACTGTCTCTATTTTTGAGATGTAATTATTAGTAAGTTCATGAAAAATTTGCTAGTGATATCATTACATTACGTATAGACATACTGTTATAGATTTTCTAGCTATCTACATTTGGAATAACAAATATATTGACCGGAATTTTATTAACTGGATTGCAAATAAAGATTTTGTTATACAGTTTTTAACGTATTTGTACTATCTAAGTAAAATAGTTGTACTCTGAGTTAGTGAGAACCTTTTTCGCAAGTAAATGCATGTCATCACGGAATAAGGTATCGAATTCATGGAATAATTTTATTGAAATAAACAATATAATTTCCAGTCAGAAAACAATGACCAAAAACTAGAATAAGAATGTATTCTAGTAATGTTTAGTGTTTCAAAGAGAATAATCTGATTACAAGGCCTCTATTCTCCTCCTAAAGAACGTTGCCGGTGCCAACTTCAAATAGAAGTGAGCTTGTAGATTGTTCAACAAATATCAATTCGATCTGTTCCGGTGATCTTGTCTCTACGAATTTTTGTATCTAATTATGTTCTTGTGTTCCCATTGGCAGCCTTCGTAGCTTATAAGCATCTAATTGGCCATAGTTTTACTTACAAACTTGTAAATTAGATCTATATCGATAATATTAACTGATTGCAGATTAATTTGAATATTGGTTCCTCAAAGATGGTCATGAGATTTCCTCAGTTCAGAACTTGAAAATGTTTCTAACCATATGTGTCTGTAAGTAGCCTTATTTACTAATACAACGGAAAACGTATCCTGCTTTTTTGTTACCAGTGACTGTCTGGGTATGTGCAAGTAAACAGAAAATCCTATTCATCCATTGCTGTCCTTGTTTCAGTTGATGTAACTTATTACTATTTATTTTGTTATTTCATTTGTCTTCTTCCAATGCTGTGTCGTTTACATTGTCTATTAGATAGCTATCACACGTTAACTCGATTACTTTTACTTTCAAAAGACTTTCCGTCTTAGGATATATCATAAATTACTACTTTGTACTGAGATATTTGTAGTATAGACTTAAGACAAGGTACTGTCAGTATTCACCATTTTGAAAGTATGCTAGCAAATAATGTAACCAGTGATGTTCAGTAATGACTATTAAAATAAAAGCGTTGAAGTCTTTGAACTATTTTCCAGAACGAAATACGGAAATACCAGTTTTCTATATTGTTAAGGATCACATTATAGTATAAAAACTATGAATTTTTTATAAGTGACTTCGAATTTGAGAATATTTAGGCGGTTCAAAATTGTATTTATTATCTAGGATCAATTTAAAAAGATTTTACTTTTCATGAGACTTATTCATATTATTGACCAAAGTGTTTTCAACTTCTGCAATTTTAAAAACTTTAAGAGTGTCATCCTAAGACGATTCAGAAATTTGTTATGTTTTCATGAATACAGGTTGTTTTTACACGTGAACCTAACTTACACTGACCTGTGTCTCAGTTTGAAAACAATGACTGTATATTCACTACCTTTTCCTTAAAGTATTACATTTACAATTTCGACAGAAATAATATCAAGACTTTGTTGATGAAAATCGAACAAAACAGCTCTTCAATGCCCTTTGACATACAATGACCAGCTGAAGTTTGTAGTCTGTAACGAAAACTATATAAAAATTAAGTTGAATTTTACAGCTAATGCCAGTTTCCTTTCTAGATGTCTGAGCATTAAAAGTCTAATCTAAGTAGTGATATCAACATTAATTTTTTTGAGTATTTCAGACAAATTAAGACTTTATATTCCTATGGGATTTCTATCAATTGGTTATCCGATGGTTAGTCTAAATTCTTTCTTCCATTATTTTCGTTCATTGTTAAAACAACTTTTTAAAGTTTGATTTATTGTCCCAAAACAACAAAATCTGTTTATCATGTGTTCTAATTACCTTTATTTCTTTTTAATGACATCTCCATTTGTCTAAAATACGTATATTTTTCATTGTTATTCAGTATTAAGTTATTTAACCCTTGATAATTAACATTTGTGAGAATGGCCTTGAATAAAATTGATTCACAGTTTGTTTATATGATGCACTCTGTGTGCAAATCAAATGAATAGTCATGATTTATATGTAATTTGGTAAGATTTTATCACAGACCTTCAGTTAAAATAAATTTGTCAATCCATTAAAATTGTTTCAATAATTCTTGAATTGGTCGATTAAATGATTTCAACTACCAACTATTAGTTATAAATCAGCTTAAATTAAACCATGTGATATTAACGATTAATTCCATATTAATCTAATATTCCTTCTTTGGCGATTGATACCTCCTTGTATTGATCATTATTTATTTTATTTTAACACAAAGATATTGGTACAAGTAGGTACCGAATACATATGCGCCACACAAATCTCATTTGATATGTGTGAGGGCTGTGATATTGACCGGGCGCCCAAACCGAAGCAGGTGGTTTTCTTAGGGGGCCACACTCGGAGCCTCCGACCTGAAGGTCTGATACACGAGGCAGTGGAGCATCGTAAGGAGATGCAGTCCCATGGTAGCCGGTGACCAACAATTGGTTCATACGCCATTTGTTTCCTCAAGTAATGGAGCCCATGTGCACCATTGGTTTGGGGTCAGGGTATTCCAAGTCCCCTAGGTGGACTCTTCGTGTCCACCAACCCGGTTAAAGCGCCGGACATTCGCTTTTTGTCCTCTCAATTTCGTAAACAACACCCTTGCCACGAGAAGGCGATGAGTAGGACTTCCCTGGCACCGGCTATATACGCGTGGCCGTGTGAGAGCATTTGGAGAGGGAGAACGGTCTCTCCCCACTCTCGGCCGTACCAGGGCATTCGGGGGCTTGTATTGATGCTACACACTAAGCATCATAGTGTTTCGTATTTGTTGTTCTTTTTTTACAACCTTTGATAATTTGGAATTGATAATTTTGATAAATTATATTCAGTTTCAACTATATTTTAGGTGGATATATCTTACAGTCTTTCAACTGGAAAGTATCCTGGAGTTATAATGCGTGTAAGATTAACATTCTAACATTGTCTCCTAATTTTTATTTGTCCCATACTGTCCAATCAGATACTTGTTAAATTTGTTTTTGTGTGTGATGACATAATTCAAGTAATTAAAAATATTATCTTAATAATAGGGAGAGTCTGATTATGATTGGTAAATGATCGACAACAGTGAAGCTCTTTTAGTGTTGTATATTAAAAGACAGTTGACTAGTATTTCAGTATTTACGTTAAACATAAAATTCACTATTTCTTGACAGATTTCCCACAAAATTTAATTTGAAATAAAACTGTCCGTTTAAGTCCACCAACAAGGTGAAAGTTATTATGATTAATATGAAATGACCTTCAAAATAGCATTCATTGTTCGTTAAAATATTAAGCTCTGTACGTTAGAATTAAAGGTTAATTTTAAATCCTCATGACTTGTTAAAAATTTCTATAATATTAAGAATAAGTAGTGGAATAACAACAGATTAATGAACATTATTTTTGTCATGGGGTTATGTATACTGGTTTTATCAGACATTCTTAAGGTTTACATTATTAATAATGCTTCCTTATTTTCATTCATTTCTAAGTATTTACCCATAGAGGTGTGCTTATATTAGTTAAAATTCACAATCACTAAAAATGTTGTCAATGATCATAAACATAAAAATACACTTAACCATATCTCCCAAAAGATTATAATTATGTTTGATTACAGTCTACAAGTAAAACATTTTCTTATCGGTAGATTAAATGCTTCAAGGAGATTAATCAGAAAATTGTTTTACGTTATCAGTTAAACATTTATCTCACTGCAATTTTCATCACAGTTTATTCAGTGAAGAACTTATGTTCTATGAATAATATAATCTTCATCTGTAGTTTTACTTTATTTCTTTGCATAGAACACCCAATTTTTGTTCTGTTACACAGTGGCCCTGTTATTTCTTAAGTTATAACAAATGGCAATATTAGTATTTCGACATCTACAGAATTAAACATATATATAAGCAGGGACGGATGATGGCTAGCAGTGGGATCCTGAACGCGCGTTTCGTCCTATTTAGGATTCGTCAGCTAAATACTAGTGATGGAAAGCGATCAGTCTGCAAAATTTGTAGTATTTTCCTTTGATTGTTTCCCAGAATATAATATAAAGATTGAGTCTAAGTTCTACCATTTAAATTATTTTTACGGAACTTATAACTCCCTCTGAATTTTCATTTATGTACTGATAAATAGATTAAATAACTATCATGTATGTAATCTTTTCAGTCCTAGTACATACCATATACTTAAAAAATTGTTATAGATTTATTGAAAGTTACAAATTAATGAATGTTGCTGAACAATCATGTATCCCAATGTAAATGGTTTAGAGAATATCCTTTAATATGGAAATCTATCTTAACCGATTCATGGAGCTTCACCGTCTGAGGTGCTTCTACTGAGTGTTTTTTTCAACTATTTCTAACCGCCAATGTTCAGTCATAATGCATGAGTCATCGTATCACTTAGACTATTGAAAACACTGGAATTCGACAGCAAAAATTTGAGCAACACAAAGGATTAGACATGCTGGACAGTGATCACTGCTAAGTGATCAGTTTGTGTAAATCAAAACTATCCCTTCGGTGTAAAATATGTAATCACAATTGAAGTAATTGTTGAAATGCAACCCAACTGAAAAAAAGCAAATTATCACCTGTTGTAGTGATCCAGAAAACTTCTCGCAAAAGACAAGAGAGGCTCAGAAAACACTAAGAAGCATTTTGTCCCATCAGCGTTCGCTAGAAGTTTAGCCGAGTAATATCAAGAAAGGGAAAAGTCATATGTAGAGTTTCTGGCTGACTGATCACCATACTGCTACTATGCTTATTAGTATTCCGGAATTTTCGGGAAACCTAAGAACATCTAAAATACTATGGAGACTTTATATTTTCTGTGCTAAAACGAACCTTTGGAGTAAAGTGCTTCTCGCATATTTTGAGTTTTTTCTTTCATGTTCAGGTCGTTGTGTAGTTCTAGCTTGAAGGTTACGAGAATAGCTTAGGAACCGAATATAGTGTTAAATTATCAGTACTTCTCATACCAAAATATTTCTTTCATCAAAATACTAAAGTATTTACTACTCAAAAATATTCTGTGCATTTAACTCAGCTACTATATGTATTGTTATTGATTAAAATGTGATACAGAATAACAGACTGAACATAATGATCTCAATAAAATATGTTATTGTTATTTATCGATAAAATAGGATTGAATTATCATAATGTTCAATAACAATTTTTCGTAATTTTAAAATATGATTCTATTGAATTTCTAGATAATAAGTTGGGGTTTCACAATATTTTATGTATTTGAACAAATTTCGTTTCTGTGGGCATATGGTCAAAAAGCATTTTTTTCAAAAAAATCTAATATATTTGGATTATTTATAGTAGCTATAATATTTGTAAGTTATTAGAATTTTCATTGTAGTTTTATTATGTAACTCATGTATTTACAAGAAAAAAACATCATACGTCAGGTGGAGACAGATATCTACCTCAGTACAATGAAAGATGGTCGCGCAATTTCCTGGATTGGTTGATGTTAGACATTAACACCATTGGATGCGGGCTCAGAGGTCCAGTAGGTTAAGCAATCACGCGCAAGACCGAAAGCCCTGGGTTCGAATCCCGCGAGCCGGATCGTGGATGCGCACTGCTGAGAAGTCCCATAATAGGACGGAACGGTCGTCTAGTGCTTCTAGGTTGCCAACGGTGGTCTGACATCAATCGGTTCATGATCTCAATCAGAAACTTAACAATCTCCACAACCCCTATACTGATTAATAAATGGTGATAAACTGTGTAATATATATAAATAAACTAAATCATCAATTATTAGTAGAGACCATCATTTAGTTGAGATTTTATTGTAAACCTTATTTGTATCAGTGTAATCAACCGTTTTTTAAAGTCACTGAATAACACAGCCTAAGATCTAGGTTTCATACTAGTTGCAACACTTTACTGAGCCCTGTCTATTACACTGATGTAAATGATGCACTATGTGAGAAGATATGAACTCGATTTATATAATGTCGCATATACTTGTGAGTTATAATAACTGTAAGAGATCTCTATTTATGATTGCAATGATTATACTAGTTTATCATTTAGTCGAAAATAATATCATTTCGTTTATTTGCTGGTGCTAATTGAATTCTATATCCCTGTTTTAGCAAAACTACTGCTCTAATCGCAAAAGAAATTATTTGACTGAAAATTATCAAAAAAATATATTTCAGCAACCTAAATTGTCTATAGATTCTAAACACAAATAATACCGTGTTACATTAGACATTGTGTTACGGTATTCTATGAGAATTTTCAAAATAGGTAAACTAATATATTTAAGTGGAATGTACTGTTCAGAATTATGCGAAGTCCCAATAATGAGCATACGTTTCTTATTCTACTAATGCTATTACTAGTAAATATTTATATTGTTATTAAAATGGCTATTCACAATTATACTGTTTGGTATGTGATATCTGTGATCACATTATACGTAATAACACAACATATTGTACTGTCACTGTACAATTTTTTGCAGCGAACATTGTTTGCTATTTAAACAATTAGTTACCAAAACACTGATCGTAAGTCTAGAACGGCCAGAACTATAAAAATAAAATAAAAATATTCAACTGTTTCTCCTACTTTGATCATAATCTCGTTTCCTAAAGCCATTACCCTCCCTTTACCCTCCTACTTAACTAAAATGTTAACTCTGACCGGATTATTTTTGTTCATATGTCCTTTCTGACTACTGTCATCGCAACTTTAACATCTTATCTTATTACGTTATACAGCTCTTCATCCCAATAACTAATCTTTATCTATCTACTTGATGAATAATCAGGATATTAACAACTACATTTTCGATTTCTTAATGAAAATAGCATTTTTGTGTCTTTATTTATTTTATCTCTGTTACTATATTGAAGAAATTATTGCTATTGTAATCATCATTGTTATTATTATTATGATGATGATGATTAACCGACATTATTGATTATCATTTTGAAAAGTAAGTATGTATTTTTGACTGAACAGTATTGAGAATAAACTCATCAATAAATGAACTCTTTATTAAACCAATTTCTCTTGGTTATTTCTCAGGCGGTTTATCCCGTTTACTTTAAATTATAATTTATGATCGAACAAAACACGAATACTAATAATGATGTTTATAAGGATATTAGTCTGAATGAAATACACAACAGTTTGTTGTTAAATTGTTGCCTTTATTGAAATTTATTCTAAGAACGTCGATTTTCTGGGTAATTGTCTAAATGATAAAACAAAACTATTTAAGATATTTTTTTGAGTTAAATACATTTAATAATTAGGAATATTGTTATTTTATTTAACATAATTTACATGTATTCATTCTTTTTAGGTTGTTAAATTAATGGAATTAACCCTGTTACTTATGAGCCATCAGTAAGTTTATTTATCTTTTAAATATATCTACGTATAACAATGAACACCGAGACTATAATTTGTGGGCGAACCAATCAGATTTACGAAAACAGGTCTTAGATTTTGGCGCGAAATTCATTCACCCATTTGGCTATATAGAGTTTTGGCATTATAGTTGATGTCAGTTCGTGATGAAAACCCTAAATCTGATTCCTTACCTTATCCGTCAACTGTAAATCATAATCCTTATTCTTCAAACTGCTTTAAAACCCTCATTTAGCCCTAGTATGTAGGTTGACACTCTCAAGGTTAATCTAGTGTCGCTCAAAGGTCGTCCATAAATTATAGTCTCACCCAATGAACTTATGAAATATGATTCATTAATATCTTTGAATATTTAAGTCTGATCATTATAAACCTTAGAGTAATTTCTTAGTAAATATATTCTATCAAATATAGTTTTATTTATTAAACTCATACATTTATTCAATTAAGTTATTTTAAGGATTATAAAACAACAATTACTACCATTACTCAGAATATTTTTAAACACTTTCTGTTTTCGTATGAAATATGTTAAGATAGTATGCAACATTAAACGTTGAAGTTATTAATGGAGTGAATTTTCTATTTTCTTTGTTGTTGCTGTGAGATCTTATCTTATGTAATCGGTTGCTTGTTTCAATGTCCTTTCCCAAATATATGATCATGTACTTAAATAATAAAATGAAAGCTGTCACTTCAAATGTGCCATTTATTATAGTGTAATACTTTTTGTAAAAGTATTTTCATGTTACTTATGAATGATGAAATAAAAGTAACCAGACAACTACAAGTTAAAGTTTCATTATAGTTACCAATATAAATTTACTTATTTGATGGCGACAGATTATTCGACTTAATTTTCTCAATTTTATACCATAGTCTCTCCTATTGGAGTAAACAAAACATACTTATAATTTAGAATGAAAGTGACTAGTCTAGATTGGAAAAAGGGCCTATTTTCCATCCACTATTCTTTTAATTTCCTCAATTAATAAACGTATACTGTTGGTGAACAATAGATAATTCGTACTCATTTATCATCTGCATGAAGTAATAGTTAACTTTTATGTGACAGTATATATTGATTTTCATCTTTTTCGAATGACGATAGTATGGTAAAAAAAATAATACAGCAGTCTGTTACGTGCAACTGTATTAATGCAGTGTTTAGATAAAGTTAGATAATGGCTAACAGTGGGATCCAAGACGCGCATTTCGTCCTGTTTGGTACTCTTAATCTGGGCGTACTTATATCCAAGTTTTATGATATATTTTAGCCATTTATATCACAGAAGTTTCAACAAAATATTTGGAAAATAACAAGTTTTATAAAAGAACATTTTTATTACTCGTAAATTTGTAAATTTAGATTTTAAATATTTTATTCCTCGAATTGAATAGTTTTGTTTTCATTTCTGATTTGTTTGTTTTATTTTTTCCCAAATCAAGAATGCAACATATTTCACAATTTAGAATGACAATCTGGAACATTGTTCGTCTAAGTAATATCCTCTTATTAACACGTACTACAAGACTAATTGTTCTGTTTCCTTGGACACGATTAGTTGTTAGTGTTTTAGCTGATCTGCCAAGTAATCTAACCCCTGTTCTTGGAATACTCATATCAGCATTTTACTTTTATGCATTATTGGGTATGAATTTATTCCATGATGTTATTAAATATCACAATTCCACAAATTCATCAAATCCGTGAGTATGACAATAGTAAAGTATACTTCAAGTGCTTTTTTATTTTGAATACTTGTATTTTCTCTTTTGTTATATCTTTTATTTTATTTACAACAAACCGCCCAACTTCGTTCCTGTGTTTCTAGTCATTTAATAAGTCAGAGAATCTTTTACTTCCGAAACTAACAAATAGAAACCCAGAGAGTTTGACTAGTGATTTTGGTTCAAATGGAATATAAAACTTCAGTATAGCATGAGTATTAAATCTCATATTGGAAACTCAAATTGATCAATTAATGAATAAATAACCAATCTATGTATTTTCTATCCTCCAGACTATTTCCTATACCATAAAACATTGACTTTTGAGAAGCATTTCAAATTTACATGAAATTCGTAATTACAGTCATCCATTACTTATCTCCATGCAATTCGTAATTCTTTTGTTTCCCTCTAATGTTAATTTAAACAGTTGAGTATCTGCTGATATGACGCTTGACACTAGACGACTTATTTACTAGACATTTCCATGACTGCTTTGTTGTATATGACCTGAACGGCGGTCAGTTAGGTTCGTGACAAATTTCTTAACTTTATTGTGAATATCCTTCCAGACAAAATTCTTCTAATCAAACAACTAACCTGTAAGCTCTGTTTTACCAAACAAAAGACCAAACCAATTTTTTTTAAAAACCTTGATAATATCTTATCCACCATATGTGTCATCAAAAGAAAACGTTATCAGGGTACATGTTACAGTAAAACGTTTGGATTCAGTTTATATATATACAGGTGATAGTCACTATTGTAAACATAATTTTAATGTAAGTTTTCTACGTCTTGAATTTCATACGCGAATTTGAGTGACTTTCTGCATACTTTCATCTACTTCATACTTTCAAATAATATATCTACTGTAATAAGATTTTATGATGATAATTATTCTTATTCTACCAAGCAATGTAATATTTAACAAGGTATAATATTTAAAAAATGTAATTTGTCCCAGTAAGTAAAAATCCAATCTTTACATATATATATGTAAAATTGACAATAGTCTCACCTTAAAAATCGACTCAAACTATTACATTTCAGTTCATTCATAATATTGTAGATAACAATAGAAAATATTGAAAGTCAAGTGCTTACGCATAAAAAATGATAAACATTATATACAAAGTAGTTCTTTTGATCCTTCGTATTAGTCAATAACAATAAAACAGTCATAAATCATTATGTCTAAGATATGTCTACATACATTAATGAATCTTTACCGATAATATGAAATATGAAATAATACATTTTGATCTAAAAAGAAAAAGACTATTATGTTTATTTAGCAATACGGTAATAACAAATGAAATTTAATTTTTGTTTTCTAAATTGTTTGTCATATATCTATGAAAATAGATAGGATAAGTAAACGTAAAAGAAACAACACTACATCTATAGGTCATTTTAGTGTTGTAACTCTTAACTTTGTTTTAAAGGTATTCAATTCACATGAACTTGAAACAATTTGATTGAAGATCTTTTTTTTTGAAATACTATTAATGAACTGAGAATCATCTAGTGGTTTTTATGATTTTTTGCAGAATTTCAACAGTATTATGCATGGGATTTAGTTAGATACTACTTCACCTAATATATATAACATATTCAAATGAATGGAAGAGAAACCATATGGGACTGTATCAAGTATTGATGGAAGTTTGATTTTACTTCGAATATATATGTATATAGTGAAAGAAATATAATGTGAATAATATAGTGTATGTAAAAAATTACTTTAGATACGGGATTTCTATGCTTTTAAAATTGTTTTTCATCATGAACTGGGGTCAGTTGACTTGTGATTATGAATTATTAAGCTGTTGAATACAGTTTTCAGTACTGTACTGCTTCTTTCCTGATCAAATAATGGTTTTTGTAACTATTGATGTCAGAAATATTATAAACTCTTTTTTTAAAATGTGCTTGAAAACAATAAACTATTAAGCAACACACTGACAACAAATTTTTCTATTAACTTCATGTTAGAGAAACCTATCAATGTGGGACTTACCAGGAGTTGCAATACTGGTCTATACATTTTAATGATTTTGCTGTAAGTAACTTTAGAATTCATTTTTAGTTTCCTTTTATTCAAAATCATCCGGACTATTTCAGTCTTTATTGTTACGATTTTCTGCCTGCATACATTTATACATATAGTATTAAAATGATTTAGTTTACTTTATTAGTTTAAGACTAATTCCATGGAATCATGATGCTTATTGGGGATTTGTAGAAAATGAGAATACATTCAGTGACTTAAACTGCTTGTGTTTACTATTTAACCTGTTGCTTTAAGTCCCCATGCTCCGTGAGTTGTATGTGAGTTCACTGAAGACTCTCTCACTACCATGAAAACATTTCTCTATTCCTATTCTTTGACTGACATAATGTTTTAATAAAAACCACTTTTAAATAAAACAGCTATCATTTAATGAATAAAAATAACATCTTTAGTCTATGAAATGTACAAAGTATGTAATTAAAGTCTACTTTTCGGTGAATTCGTCTTGTTTCTGAGAAATGTTAATTTTTGTACAAGCATCAGTACATATATATGTACATATTTATTCGAAGATAGATAGGTAGATAAATACCTTCTACCCATTTTTTCATATACACGTTTTTGGATGTCAGTTAATCTGAAGCTTTGTGTTAAACAATAATGTATAAAGTTGGTAATGAAACTAATTCAATGCGAATACTTCTCATAATTTTTGGTTCCATTTTACTTTATCAATGACTCAATGATGATATATTTCATGAAGAAAATAAGTCCTAAAAAATGAAAACGTTTAGTGTTTTGTTACAGTTTGATTGAAAACGTTTGTAGAATTTCCAAGTAAAATTGAACATTACGGTAAAATGAAAAAATCATCAAAATAATTTCTATCATTCAAACCTAATCTATAAGAATACAGGGCAAAAATTATCTCACATTGTTTCTAAGCAAATCTTTAAACTTTTGATATGCTTTGTTGGCACACGATATATTTATTTCTCTTTAAACTTTTTACATCTATAAATTCACTTGGTATTGCTTACCTGAATCTGTCCGTTGATGTTTAGGACTGCAGTTAATCAGTCTCTTATTGGCATATGTGTATCTTGTGGGGATCGCCTAGATATTACATTCAATAACAAGCATTATAAACAAATATGGATTATGGCTAGCAGCGGAATCCAGAAAGCGCGTTTTATTGTATTTGAGACTCATCAGCTGGACGTACCTCCATCTTGCATCCCAGAGTTGATGTTTACTCTGGGACTCGAACCCAGCACCTTTCGCTTCAAACGCCATCACATTATCCACCTAGCTACTGAGTCTTGATTCAAGTAAAAAAATACCAATTGAATTTAAACTTCATCCTATTGTACAAGCAAGTGGATATCAGGACTCAGTAACTAACTGGATAACGCAATGGCGTTTGAGGCTAACGGTAATGAGTTCGAGTCCCAGAGTGGCCATCAACTGGTATGTGAGATGCAGATACATCCAGCCGATGAGTCTCAAGTACAATAAAACGCGCATTCTGGATTCCACTGCTAGCTACCATCCATCGTTTACATGTATGTTTAATAAAAAGCAATGTTTTAAAAGAACTGATTAGTATTTTATTCAAAGAATAAATGATAATAAATCACTAGTAACGTATTTTAATTGTTTTCAAGTATTTTTTTTCGAAAATGTGCACCATAAAAATTACCTTTTTACTACCGGTTGAATAAGATAAGAAATTCAGAGCAATTTCAATTTTCCTGATATTTATGACAGTTTTTTTTAAAATTTAAAACTGTTTACTATAAATGATGATAACTGATACTTAAGCACCGCTTAAATTGACTCACGATGATCGTTGGCTTGAGAATATATTGAAAGAAATTTGGCGGTTACCAAACCAGAAACATGACATTAGTCCATAAACTATATTTTTAAGCACTGATTACAGCTTTATATTCTCATAAATTAGTGAGAATAATGGTTTGAGACATCTGATGATATGGTTTAGCGTTGGTTGCAATAACAAAGATCCATTCATTTTTTATCATCTTTTAGGTGTTGGGTTTTAAATCATTCCATGAGATTTATTCTGTAAATTTTACTAACTGACTGAACTAATGAATATACATATATTATATATTATATATACATATATATACATATACATACACATATATGAACAATGAAGTTCGAGACAATTATTGAGCATTTTGCAAATCAAGTATTATAGCATGGTTTTTCTATTTTACCAAGTAACTCTGTAATTTTGTGCTAAATATAATTTGATTGTACCCACCCGTGTCCTGTTCACTACAGTATTATTAAAATAGAAAAATTTGTTCACATGAACTGTATAATAACTATTATCTCTTTCTCCATCTATTTATTATTTGAATTATTCCCATATCAGTTCTATGAATATTATTTTCAAAGTGTGTCAGTTACTAATTGATAGAAAATGAGTTATATTAGTGTGAATAACCACTAATATTGTTGTTTTTTCGAGATAATTCTTATGTAGGCCAGTAAATAGATACAGTTTATTCATCGTAAAACAGAATTATTAAGGAATTGACATCATGTCTTAAGTAAAGATTTCAATATTTAAACCAGTTCATACGTAAAATAAGATATTATATTCATTTCGTTATTTACTGGCAGAACTTCAGAAGTTTTTTTAATATTTATTGGCAATAGATAGTTAATTATTTCTCTCTAATTATGAAAAGTAGATCTATGGTTTTTCAACACTGATATTATAATAGATACCTTCAAATGTAAGATATTATTTTAATAGTACTATACAGTATTTTGTCACTGTTCACATGTATTCTTTTTAATTGTACATGTTTTGAAATGTATATCAGTAAAAAAATGATAGTGAATGAAAGCTAAACCTAATCTGAATTACTGTGTTTGTAATCTGACTGAAGAGAATCTGTGAATTTTTAATTAACATTTCACTGATAAGTAATTTACATATTTATTAAATTTGTTTTTCTTATTTTCATTTAACATAATGACTAGAAAATGCAGTTTTATCTAGTTTTGTTTCATTAAACACATCATTGTTTTAATTACTTTAAGGCCAGCCTTGTGCTTTTATGGGATTTAATGGTAGTCAATAATTGGCAAATAATTGTATTCGCATATCAACAAGCCGTGAACAGGTAACTTTAAAAAAACTTTAATTTTTATCAGTTATTCATCATCTTGTTTTAGTTGGAATTAGTTTTTACAGAAATGTTTATGTTGTTTATTTTCACTAGTCGTTTGAATCTTCCCATTAATGCTGAAGACTACAATTGATCAGTCTCTTTTGGCACATAAATCCATGTGGGGAGTCCCAAATAAGACGGATAGTGCATCCGGGATTCCACTGCTAGCTATAAGGTTTATAACGTTTATGTAATTTACAAGTATTTTCAACTTGGTTTGATTATACCATCAACCAACTCATCTATTTGCATTCGTTTATAATGATAGTTAGTTGTAGTTTTTCAGTGTTGATGCCGTTAGATAGAATAGCTTTACGATAAATATTTTAATTTCCGGGTGACAATTTTACATATTGACCTAAGTTGTGATACCATTAAAAAACATAGAGCGATAGACAGATCCTTCACTTTGGTTTGTGAATTTTCATTAGCTCGTAACCATAACCTCATCAAGGGTCAAATATTCCAGTCTCTGGGTGAATTCTTAAACGTTAGAATTACTATTTGTTAGGATTCGGCAGTGCACTTTATTGACGACAGTCAGTTTGTGCTATACTTACTTACTTACCCCCGTTACTCTTTGTGGAGGAGTATAGGCTGCTCACCAGCGCTCTCCATTCAACTCTGTCCTGGACAATCCATTCCACTTGTTTCCAGTTGTTATTCATCTTTTTCATATCTGCTTTTATTTTCCGGCGTAATGTGTTATTTGGCTTTCCACTTTTCCGCTTCCTTTTAAGATTACACGTTAGGGTTTGCCTCGTGATGCAGTTTGATGATTTGCGTAATGTATGTCCTATCCATTTTCATCGTTTTTTCCTAGTTTCCTCTCCCACAGAAAGCTGTTGCTGATGGTATCCGGCCAATGGATGTTGAGTATCTTGCGTAGACAACTATTTATAAATACCTGTACCTTCTTGATGATGGTCGTAGTAGTTCTCCAAGTTTCAACTGTTCAGGGCTTCCTAGCACTGAACGGTATACCAATTAAAATCATTCTCTGACAAATATCACTTATATTAAAATCTTGTTAAGTAATGCAAATGAAGCACACTACTCATAAGTTACTAAATAGTTCAGTAATTAAGATAATTCTTATAAAAGTTATCTTGACTACACAGTTCAATGCATATCTAATTAATCTTAATATGGTAATTTATTTTACTACTAATTTATATTTTAATTAATTCTGTTTGTCTTATTCAATCCATACATAGTATAGAATATTTATTTCTTAGCTAATGAATCTAGTATAAGTTTTTTAAATAAAATAAACATTTAATTTTATCAGTGACCTTTTACTATTCTTTTTGTGCACTTTTAAAAATAACTGTAACTAACCTATATCCTCTTTTAATGAAATCTTAAATTTTATAAAGAAAATGAGAAGAAAAAAAGCTTTTAAACACAATACATTATCTATTGTGTTAATAGAGAACAAGTGTGTTTAAGAATAAATGTTCTAATAGTTGATATCATGAGCCAATTGAATCTAAACCCCCATGTAAACCTGGAAGCACTAGGTGGCCGTTTCTTCCTACTGTGGAACTCCTCAGTGCTTCCAGGTTTTCCATGGTGATCTAGCTTCAGTTGATTCATAACTTCAACTATTAAAAAAATTACTGTAATATTCACAAAACCCCTTCTGATATTATTAAATGTCCTATCAATAAAGTCATAATTCATTCATTATGATAAGAAAAAAAATGTGTGAAATAAAAATGCTTTACATTTTTCTGACAGATATGTCTCTTTTTTTCTAAGTGGTTAATAGTCATTTGTTTTGTTTTGGAGAAATTCATGAAGTCTAAAGACCAGTGAATATTTGTTTCATTGTAATGTGAGACTATTGAATATAAAACTGTTAAGATTATCATCGAAGACTATTAGGCTTATTTTATCTATGTTTCGCTATATTGGCAGTTTGATACCCTTTGTGATTTAATAGTTTTCAGGGTATAATCAAAATGTATTTATATTATCCTACTGGTCAAATAATAGTCTCCTTCAAACTTAAATTCTATTTTTTATCGTGGAAGCGGGTTTTTTTCTTTCAGTTGAAATATGATTAAAGTTCATTGTGTTTACTACAAGCAGCTGTTTACTTTGACCCAAATTGTTTCGAATCTAGCATGATCACATTCAGACCCGTCAACTGTCGAGATGGACCTGTTTTTCTTTCGCTACTTCATCATAATCTAATGATGGACATTACACAGCTAACATAGTAGAGCCGTAGTTCCTCTTTAGAACTATATTTTGTGTAGTGCAATGAATTTATTTCAGAGTTTTCGACTACTCTCTTTAAAATATTTTTTCGCCATTATTACGTTTATAATGCTTTATTACATCGAAGCTGTAATCTTTTATATTTCATTGTGATGGACTGCTAACAAGCATAGGCTTACTTATTGAAGATCCATTTGATCAGTGATACTAAAAAAAAGATTACTGAGATGTAAAATAATTTATTTTCTGTTTATTTTGTAATTAGATGGGTTCACATTTATATGATTAGTTGGTGGCTATTTGTTGTCGTTGGAATACTCAGTTTAACTACTGCATTCATAATCGAGGTAATTATTTGTTTGCTAAACAATAATAGCCTGTTTATTTTAAATATTTTTTATGTTCAGCGCTTAACGGCATGTTGTTTGAAGACGGTTTGAGAACAAAAACGACACTATAATGTTACACAGTACACCTTAGTATTTATCTTTTTATGCATTAGGACTGAAACGAATAAACGGGATCTCGATCGATGGAAAATATTTCACGATACGATGTGGCCAATCAATGGCTACTCTCGGGATTAAATAATTGACGTATTCTATCAATCATACTGATATAAAAAAACAAAGCAACTATACAGTATGCCAGATTTTCTCTTCTAACAAAGTAACACATATATATACAAAGTACTGAACATAAAACTAACTGCATTTGCTAATTTTCTCTATGACCATGAGTGATTTTATTTCAAACTATATTTCTCTCTCCAAATAAATTAAATTTTTCTATTTCATAATGATAGGAAGCTATTTTAGAAACAAAAAACATTACTCATCCAAAAATGAGTTGCAAAATAACGGAGAGTCAGATTGTTTAAATGAAGCCATAACAACAGTTGAGACAGAATAATATGAATTCATAATATTTCATAGTTTCTCATCAGCTACTTCCAACTGTATATGGTACTAAAATCTAACATTGAGGTATGATGTAGTGTGAAACAACTAACATCGATAACAGAAAGAACTAGGATAACAAATATTCTCAATAATAACTATATACATATATCTATGTAAGAACATATGTAAGGTCATTTGGAGATGGAATTTAAAAACAAGAGGTGACTGAGGTAGAAATTATATGAAGTCTGGAAACATATAGGACGAAGTGTGTGATGTTTATAGAGGTTGTGCAGCGTTTACATAAGATTCATATCACTTCAAAATAAATATGTGAAACATTTGGTTATGAGTTAGTAATTGTCTAGAATAAGAACTTTGTAAGATGGGTTACTAATTAAGTAACCGGGATTTGAAGAGTTTACATAAGTTTGCGGAACTAAGTGAATGAAAAAACCGATAGTTGAAGTGATGATTTTGGGGTACATAAAATAAGAATAAGTTTGACGAAGATCACATGAAAAAATAAACGCTAGCAAAATACTAAAAATGACAATGACAAAAAATAATAATTTACCAAGGCCATGATAAGTTGATTATTGTCTCTTTCTGGACAGATAAATCAGGTTCAAGTTTCCTTATTACTACTGCTTCGGCAAACCGGAGAGATGCTGCGTTTTCTTGTCTGCTAATAATTTCGAAGGGTTGTGGAATTTCAATGATATGTCCGGTATCAGTTAAATTCCATGCTATTACATTATTTAGAGTCGTTGCACCTCTCAGCCTTAAATTCTTTAGAGCGTGCTCAGAAACGCGAACCTGTACTCTTCTCTCTGCTCTTCCAATGTATGTACTTTGGCATGTGCATGTAAATTTATAAATACAATTGGAGGTACTAAGAAAGAAGGGCGTTTCAACTTTTGCTTGTTTGGGTGAGCAGTCCGTTTCATATAACGTCTTCAGTCTTGCTAATAGATTAGCGGCCTTCATCGCGTCATTCATCCTGTAGTTAATTATTCTAGTGATTTCATCTCTTTTACAGCGCATCAGGTTTTCACTTCTACTATATCGTGTTTAGCACGTACGTTGGTTTTGGCATATTTCTTGACGAATTTCTTTGGATATGCATTTTCACGTAGGCAAGTTGTAGTAATAGCAAGTTCTTCTTCTAGGCTTGCGTCTTGAGCAAAGTTTATGAACGTGGTCAGGTTATTTACTGTAATTCATCTCAACACAAAATATTATTTCTTACTTCATTTATTTGATGTTTGATTTTTCTTAGGGAACAGGTGCTCAGCTTAATTGGAGTTACTTGGAGAGTTTTAATCCCATCTTCTGGATAGCGAGGGTTCTTCGGTCCCTATTGTATCATTTAATTTAAACTAGTAAAGATTAATTTAGATCTAATCCGAGGACATAATTGATAAGCATCGATAATATTGGTTTTGTCTGGAATCAATTTTTGGAATAAAGTAAAAGAATTCTTTCACATGGTGGACATTCGAATAAGGCACATCGATATAAAAATGTTTTTGGTGGAGTTTTGTTCTCTGAGCTGGATGGTTTGGTCCACCTGAGCTACAGATCTTCTCCACCATATAAAAATGTTGTAGCTATTTTAACAAAGCTGTAAAATAAAATATACACTACATGCTGCAAAATAACTACTTGAAGATAACCTTCCTTTTTTCATTGTCATTGTTACCATATTACGTCGATCGCTTTCGCTATTTATTTATTTGTATCCAGCTTGTCATGCTATTATGGTATAGCAACTTGGACTGTCTCACATCTAAGCAGGGTTATATGTTGATGATGATGACCAACTAATTGACTTATCAACACTGAAACGATTAAATGATATAGAATTATCCTATATATGTTATATTATCTGAGATTAACTATTTTCGTTGTTTTAAATTCAGAAAGAGCCATATTTTCATATTAATCAATAATTTATTCAAATAGAGCAAGAACAAACATTGATGCAGAATAGTATGAATTCATATTATTTCGAGGTTCCTCATCAGCTGCTTACAAACCAAAATTGTGATAGAATTTTTTCACATGGAGATAGTGTGAAATAATTGACATAACTGGATTACATTAATAACAATATATATATGCTAGAAACAGATCAGAGGTCAAAAAAGGGGTTAATTCAGGTTGGGTGGTATAATAGTTTAATGAAGTTCATAAATTGTGTGATAATTAGAGAGATTAATGGAATTGAATAATGATAAGGTAGATTACGTAATAATAATTAAATAGAATTTGGAAAGTTAAGATAATTTAAGAGGATCAGGTGGTGGAAATGTGTGAATAAAATTTTTTTAGTTTAAGAATTAGGTAATAAGGAGGGGGAGTATAAAATATCTTAAAATCAGTAAATGAATAAAATAACCAAATAACCAAAACACAAAAAACAAACGGAAACAAAAGAGATTACCAGGGTAGTGATAAGTTTATTAAAGTCTCTTTTTGAATGCATAAATCCGGTTTCAGTTTCTTAATTGCAATGGCTTCAGCAAAGCGGAGAGTGGTAGTACTTCTTTGTCTATTGATAATTTTATACGCGTGCAGAATATCGACGGTATGCTCGGTGTCAAGTAGATGCCGAGCTATTGCACTGTTGAAAGCTTTAGTCCCTCGCAGCGTCAAGTTCTTCGGAATATGCTCAGAAATGTGAACTTGTACTCTTCTCTCAGTTCTTCCAATGTATGTGCTACGGCACGTACTTGTGAATTGGTAAATGCAGTTGGAGCAACTAAGAGGAGAGAACTTGTCGATCTTCGCTTGTTTCAGTGAGTAGTATGTTTTCCATAACGTAGTCAGTTTGGCTGCCGGGTAGGCCCCTTTTAAAGCGGAATTAATTCTGTGATTGATAATTCCGGTGACTTCATCTCCTTTGAAGCGCAAGGATAGGAAGCAGGTTTTCTTTTCAACTGTATCATGCTTAATCGGAGGGTTTGTATTAGCATATTTGTGGATGAATTTCTCCGGATATGCATTTTCACGTAGGCATTTGGTGATTGTAGCAATTTCTTCTTCGAGGCATTCTTTTGAGCAGATTTTGCGTGCGCCGTCAAAACGGTTTCGCACAATACCCTTTTTATAACTCATTGAACAGAAGCTGTTAAAATCGAGATAAACTCCGCTCCAAGTATTTTTGCGGTGAATGTGTCTTTGTAGTGTGCCATCTGATGTTCGCCTAATTCCAATATCTAGGAAATGGCATTTATCATCAACTTCATGTTCCATGGTAAATTCTATATCTTTGTGTACTTTACTGAACAGACTGAGTAGGTACATGGAGTGTTGGTGATTTTTGCAGACAAAGAACGTGTCATCCATGTATCTGCAGTAGATTGTGGTACTTTCGATTGCGTGCTTAAGTTTCTTTTGTTCCAGATGTACCATAAATATGTCGGCGAGAATTGGGCCCAGAGGGCTGCCCATCGCTACTCCATCAATCTGGCGGTACAGAACATTGATAAATTTAAATTGTATGTATTTTGTACACAAAAACAGGAGCTGTTTAAATTTCTGGGTTGGTAAAGGCAGGAGTTCTGGATATTCACATATGATCTCTGCCGTTTCTTCCAAGGGGATATTTGTGAAAAGTAAAGAGACATCAAATGAAACCATGAATTTATCAGAGACATTAAGGTTATCAAGTTTTTGTACAAATTCAAAGCTGTCTTTCAAACTGTAGGTTGCAAGTTTCTTGCGGATTGGTTCTAAGCATCTAGTCGGCCAGCGGGCAAGTTTATGAAAGGGTGATTTGGCCATAGATAATATTGGTCTTATAGGGATATCGGGTTTATGTGTTTTGGGTAGCCCATATAAGTATGGCAATTGTGACCCTTTTGGTTTGAGTTCGTTATATGTATGATTATCTATTAGATTTTTCTTAAAGAGTTCTCTCAACTTTCTTAAGACACGTTTCTCTGTCGCATCTGTTAAGTCTTTCTGGGTGTTGTCGATGATAAATCTGGTGGAGTTATTTAAAATGGACATCACCTTATTATTATGTTCATCTCTGTTAAGAATGACTAAACTGGAACCCTTATCCAGACGAAGTAGCATTATTGTTTCGTCTTTAATAAGTTTTCCCAATGCTTGATGGTGATCTTCGGTGAACACCCTTGAGTGTGGGATTGGTGTCGTAACATATTGGTTTGTGATATCCACTAATTTAGATTTAAACCAACTATGCTTTTCGTCGTTCATGGGTTTAAGGTCTGACAATTGTTGATATAAATATTCAAACTGCGTTTCAGTGTCTACTCTGATGCATTTTCTTGGGATATGAAATTTGAATCCAAGGCAGAGTGCTTCAGTTTCAATTCGACTTAGTTTTTTATTCGATAAGTTCTGCATGTATTTTCGTGGATTGGTAGGAAATGCCACGTGGTTTTGTTCTTTAACAAGTGTTTTGGTTAATGTCTTTATGAATTTGTGACTGGTTTTCCACTGAACATCGCGAATGAAGTTAATAAGTTTAATACGACATACAATATTTAAGTCCATAACAATTTTGTCATAACCAAAGGATTCTATCTTAAGTTTAGAGATAAGATCCTTAGTGCATTCAATTTGGGATTTGGTGACAGAATTCAGCTAATAACTTTTGTAACCAATATTTCTTCAGCAATTAGAAACTGTTCGGTTTCATTATCATTTATGTCTGTCAGTTATTCATCCAACAATTAAATACTGTTTGTTTTTGTTCAATGATATGAGATATTATTTTATCATAACTGTTTATTTTGAAAAAATTTTTGAAACTCTTATTCAGTCATTTTTACATCGACGTGATTTACAACCGGATATATCGGTGATTCAGAATCAACCATTTGAAATAATGAGAAATAATGTCAGTAATTTTGAGGAACCTATTGGACATTCTTCAAATCAGGTTTGTTCTTCTCATCATCATAATACTGGAAGTGATGAAGAGGAAACATCGAAATATAGATCAACGCACTTATTAGTATCATCATTATCTTTTCTCAGACGACGATCAACTACTGAGATGATTCCTATAACGTTGGATGAAATATTCCGGTTAGTTTTCATGTTATCGCAAATGCTATTTAGTATATTTATTTTGGACAAATTTCATAATTTATTATTAGTAAAGTTATAACCAGCAGACAAACCCAGAACTCGCATTTCATCGCATTCGGGACATTTCAGGTAGATGCATCTTCATCCCAGTGTTGATATTTACCCTAAGATCTAAACCGTTGAATCTATTACTTCAAACATTAACTCACTATTCACTCAGTTATTGAGTACAAAAAGCCACTATTTTTTTCAATGGGTATACATTTATTTAGAAGGGTTTCTAAAGTCTCTTACTTAATATTAAGGATTGTGGATGATTACAATGATGGCGAGAACCCAGCTTTATTAAAAATTGTAACTAAATGACAAAATTGAGACAGTCTGATTCGTATGGATATGTATCAAAAAAGACTGATCAATCGCAGTCCTAAATATCAACAACTAAAAAATATGAACTCTTGCCAATAAAGATGTTGGTTGATTTTTGTGAAGCTGAACTAAGTATGTTGTAGAACCAAAATTAAAGTCTCTGTTCGGAAAAAGAGTAAGTAGGATCAGAGATAAAACTATAATTAATAAGTATTCATTTAGTTTCAGGCAATAACTGGAATACTACTTAGATTTGTTTATTGGTGTTCATATTCAAATAGGATATTCGCTTAAAAAGCATAATCTTCATAAATCACCTTTCTCTTTCAATATATATCATATTGTCAAATATGATATGGAAATCAGTGGTATTAGGATCATTTTTTTATTACAATATCATAGTTTACTCATCAAATACAGAGTTACGGAAGCTATCAATTTCATAATAAAATTATAAGTTGTTTGATTACAAAAGTGATACTAATAATAATACAATTCGAATTTGCTTTTTAGCATAAATTAAGTTTAGCAATAAAACCTTACAAGGGTTAAAGAAGTAATTCACTCACTAGTACAATATTTGACTGGTTTCGAATCGTTATACCTGTCGAACTGCTGTTTGCTACTTATTAGATTGTATTCATTACATCAAGTCTCTTTCTTATAACTGTAATCAAACCAGTTAAATAATATTTTCACGCATATTTATTCATAAAAATAAATTATATTTTACAGTGATTTAATAATTAGAAATATTCAAACTCTGTGTTATAACTTGTGACCTGTGTGCCCGGCTAATGTATACGTAATGATACCGCCAATTAGAGAGCAGTGAATAATTATCGATCGAACCAATGACACGTAAAACCCGTACGAGCAACCTAGAGTCCTGATTGGTCCTGCTTTCCGCCTAGCTCAGCCAGTTAAGTCCAGAACAGCAATATCAGCCTCTGCGATATGAATCATTTATTTCAAGCACACTGGGTTTATATACCAACCAGACAGACCACATCGTACCAATAAAATAGGAAACAACATCTGTAAAAGATTTGGCCAAATGTGGCTGTGAATGAGGAAGGTAGTAATTAATAAACAGGGAATAACTCAAGAATGGTAAATTGCATAATAATAGTTCATAAGGCAAAATAAAGCTCATAATACGAGGGGTATGAATATAAATAGTTTAGTTATTTAACAATTATACGATAAAACTATACGTATATTATTGGTCCACAAATGGATTCCAAAAGTTACAATTCATTATTCTTACCGGGACCTAACACTCTGCACATACGATACTTTACTAATTTTATTATTAAATTTAATAAATTATATTAAAAAGTAAATGAAAGAAAGGATTGGTTTTCATGTGAATTGAATCTTACTTGAAATTGTATTATTTGTTAAATGAAGCTTCTAGTAATGATCAAGTTTTTTGTTAACAAGTCGAAAGTAAGAACACGGTCTAGCACTTTTAATGTTAATATTACTTAGGGTATTATTTATTATGAAGATAGTTTAAATGTCAATCGTAATTTTTAAAATACATTAATAATAATTGGGATCATGAAATGACTTCAACCAGTGAGTCATGGAAAATCAGTTATTTCGTTCTACTTTCAAAATATTCGGTAATGTCAATCTATGATGATTAGAAGTATTCGAAATAATGTATTAACTAGGATTTACCGAAACAGTGCAATTTAAGCCATACAGAACTAGATGAGCACAAACGGGAGTATTTGTAATAAGCGGGTAATCAAGTGAAGAAAAAATCGTTAGTTTGTGCAATTACCACAAAATCTCATATTTAATTTAAGACTGAACCATAGAAACTCATTTTTTGTTATTCTACAGGTCATATTGAAACTTAAAATCTTTACAAAATAATATATTTTACCTCAAATATTACTTACTCTACGAAATGATTTAGATTAGATCGTTCAAATATTGATAAAGAGCTCTAATATATATGAGCTACTTTCCATTATTTGATACATATGATAGTAATATTATGAAGGTGATACAAACTTGTATTAAGTTCATTAGGAATTGTGTTTAAACTAACAAGCAAAAAAGATTTACTAGCTAACTTATTTTTATTCTAGAGATCATATTTTAGAAATAATTTTACTAAAAACAAATTCATATTTATTTCAATGGTTGAGATCATGAGTCAGTTGAAGCACTGGATGGCAGTTTCGAAACTGCCATCCAGTGCTTCAACTGACTCATGATCTCAACCATTGAAATTACTATAATATTCACAAAACCCGTCTCATATTTATTTGTTTGATTTATTGTAGCTGTAAACTTCAAGAACCATCAGAAGAGTCCATTATTGCTGAAATATATTCCCACCCACATTTTCGAAATTTTGTAGCATTATGAATAATCTGTATAATAACGACAACAGATATCGTTGTAACAGTATTGAGATATCAAAATAAATAGATCCTGAGAGTTTTGCTAAATATTTTTTAGTATTTTACATAATATTGAATTTATCTACTCCTGCTTATTCTTATTATATTAATAAATACAATCTCTGTGACCAGTAAAACGAAACTCTATATTATGTAAAGTCTAAACAATTCTCAGGAATATTTACCTTTAGTGTGTGAATATCAATAAAACACATTCTAGTTGTGATTCTACTTATCCGGTTATTCAATTGGATAGTTCAATGTATAATAGAGGGAACAAAATAAAGTGAAATAACCAATAATTTTAATGGATCATATATATAAACTAATACATTCTCCAACACTCCAGCATAGAATTTGCTATTCTTTATTACGTCCGATCTGTTTTCCTATATGTTTGATACTTATAAGAATGTATTTATTAAGTTCTCGCTATCGTAACTTCCAAATTACGTAGTACAGTTTTCAGAAACTTGTAGTGTGGCGTTGAGTCTTGGTTCAAATGGTTGTGGACGGAATAGGAGCAGCTTTCGCTTAACAGGCTTCCGTGTCTAGTAGCAGGGGATCACCAAAACCTCCAGGCAGGAGCCTAGGTATGTTAACAGTAACAGAGGAAAAGAAATTAGTAAATCATAGTGTGATACTATCCTTAGTCCTTAAGAATAGATCAAGTTGCCTCTTAAAGTACTCTTGGGAATTCGCTTGGACTAGCTCGGCCGGCAGCGAATTCCAGCATTTGACAACTATTAAGGAGTAGAAGTTGTGTCAACAGTCCGTTCTGCTATGTTGTGTCTCCAGTTTTTGGTTGTTACCACTTGGGTTTGTGTTGGAACTAAGCTTAAGTAGGTGTTTGAGAGGATGTCCAGAAGTGTTAAGGATACTGTAAGCCACCAGAAGGTCACCTCTAAGACGCCTATACTCTAATGGGTAAAGGTTAAGTGAATGGAGGCGCTCTTCGTAAAGTTTAAATTTGAGTCCTCGGACTGATTTCGTGGCTGGCTGTTGGATACGCTCCAGTGTGTCCTTATTCTTTTGGAGTGAGGGAGGAAGTACCATATTTCCGTACTCTAAATGGGGGCAGTAAAACCATTGAAGATTTTATGGAAAGTTCTTTCGTCGAACTGTCCAAAAATGCGCTTCAACGTTACCAGTGCAAGGTTTGCTCGGAAGGCATTTTTGTCACAGTTAGCGTAAGACTTTAAATCATGGGGCACCAAGATTACTAAATCTTTTTCGACTTGGGATACTACTAGAGAGGAATTTCCTAAGTTATAACTGTAGTCTGCGACATGTCGCAGATGGACTACTTTACACTTTGAAGTGTTGAGAGTAAGTCCATTATTATCTGCTTAATTTCGGAGCCGAGTTAGATCCTCCTGAAGTGCCTGTATATCGTCTTGATCGCGTACCTCTCTTCAAAGTTTAACACCATCAGCAAAGAGTAATAATTCTGACGTTACCTGTTGGGGAAGATCATTTATGTAGATCAAAGAGAGAAGTGGTCCTAGTACTGAGCCCTGGGGGACCCCACTAGGACATTCCATAGCCTGAGATAAAGTGAAATTAACTCTGACCTTAAAATGTCGATTTTTCAGGTATGAAGTGAGACAATCGATTAGAGGTGGTCTGATACCCAATCGTTTGAGCTTATTGATAAGACATGTATGGTTAACCTTATCAAAAGCTTTTTAGAAATCTAGGTAGATGATATCAACCTCCCCCTTGTGATCAAAAATTCTTATCCATTTGTCCACCGCAGTCAGCAGTTTGGTGATACAAGTGTAACTCTTCCTGAAACCATGCTATGGGGTGAGAAGAAATTTAAGGACAGTAAATAGTCATATATACGATTGCATATCAGGGACTCCATGATTTTTGAGGGTATGGAGAGAAGAGCCACCGGTCGGTAACTTGAAGGTTCGCTGCGTTGATCTCCTTTAAAAATTGGTGTGATGTGACCCAGCTTCCAAATTTCCGGTAGTTTTCCTCTGCTTAGCGAGTTTGAGAACATCATGCTAAGCGGCATTGCCAGGATTGAGGCTGCCTCCCTCAGTATGGCAGAATGGACCGTATTCGGGCCAGAAGAAGTGTCTATTCTTAAGTGCTGCATTTTCCGGAAGACCAAGTCAGCGCTCAGGTTCACTTCGAAAAGTCATTTGGAGTTGCAGATGAAGCCTTCGTCAGTATACTGGATATTGGTCAGTTGAAATGTCCGAGGCAAAAGGTTAACGGCGTCGCTATCGTTGTTGGTCGGGCCGTCAAGACCTACCAGTTGGGAAACTCCAGTCTTGGCTTGGCGAAAAGAGGCTGCATAACGGAATAAGCTTTTCGGATTAGAGACAAATTTGTCCATAAGCTTTGTCTGGTTCTGAAGCCTGTCACCTCTTATAGCATTCGTGCATATGTTCCTTATATGTTTGTATTGCCTGTACGAGCCGTTGTTGTCAGTTCGTTTGTACTCTGCCCAACAGTGCCTTTTGTGGCTTACCAGGCGAAGAGTACGGTTGCTTATGTTTGTGGGTTGCTGATAGCTATGCGGGACCGTTTGAGGAACTGTATGATTTCTAGCACATATGAGCGTGTGCAGTAAGAAGTCCCACTGACCGTCCACATCGAGTTGATGGTGGACATCCCAATCCACCTGTTGAAGATAGTCCTGTAGAGCTGACGCATTCAACCGTTTGAAATTCCAGCTCAGTTTTGCTGACAAAACTGAAGGCTATAACAGCGTGGTCGCTTTTCCCCAGGGGAGCTAAGATTGAGAGGTTGTAAACTAGAAATTCTTCGTTTGTAAATACATAATCTAAGCTCGACGGTGTCTGACTGTTTCTCAAACGAATTGCCTACTTTTCATTTTTGTATAATCCCAAATCCTCAATTAGGTTGAAGAATCGAGCTTCAGTTGAGTTTTTCCCTCCAATACATTGTGTTCTGCGAAATCGACTCTAGGGATATTGAAGTTTCCGAGAATCAGGATATGAGTGAAACCGAGACGAGTAGAGAGGGATAATCCTTCCAGCATACGACTGTCGTACTCGATGTCGGCGGTGGGCTTCCTATTTATGAGTCCGACTAGACACCTCGAAGTAGCAGACAATCTTACACAGCACCATATGGATTCCTCAAGATTGGTAAATTCGAGGTTATGAACTTGGTGTACCTACAAGCAAGGTCGTATGTACATGGCTACTCCACCCACAATTCCTGATTTTCTGTCGTCGCGAAACTAAGACATCCCAGGGACTGCTAACTCCTGGTCCGATAACTGAGAAGATATCCGAGTTTCAGGGATTCCTATCAGATAAGCAATATTAACATTGCTAAGCTCATGTAGCTCATCCATTTTATTTGGTAGACTCACGGCGTTCATGTATAGGGAGTATATGCTTTCGATTTGACATGTGTGAGCTTCTTTCTATTTGTTTGTATGAGCCTTACGTGAATGGACAGGTAGCCTATATAAGGTTTGCCGAGTTGGTAGACCCTCTCCTTTACACGTTTTTTTATCGAGACAGTCCACAAGTGAAATGGTCAGCTCCATCTTGCCTTTGTGCTTGGTCCTGGCTTCATATGACCTATCCGGGTGCACGTAGATTGCAGTTGGCAACCGACGTCTATTGGGACGAAATGCTTCCAGAGTTGCAGCCGCCGTATGGGAGGATGGGAAAGTTATCCTCACTAACCGGGGTCTAGAATCACCGTCCTTCTTGGTTAGTCTCGTCATGTGTTGAGTCAGTATGTTTTTCAGCCTCAAGGACTGTTTGATGAATTTCTATTCCTCAATATCAGAATTTGCTTGACTAGGGTCCATATTTTCCGGTACACCTTGCACAATTATATTTCTTCCGAGGAAATACTTCTCGTGATATTCTTAAGGGATGTTCCGTATGAGATTGCGCTCCGAATACGGTATTTTGGGCAGTATTCTTACGTTCCCATCTGATTTCGGTAAATGACTCGCTAGCAAGATATCCTCCACGTCGGTAGCGTTCTTAAGAGTTACACGAAGTAGCCTCGGGTGATTATGATGTTTAGATTCCTTCTCGTGAGTGAGCTGTGTGACCGTCAAAGGATCTATTCTTGGAAGTTCAAGTTTCTTGTTCAATTCTCGCCAGAGCATCCTATCATTTTTGTCCTGCAAACTGAGACAAAGGTCAGGGTTGTCTTTGAGGTTCATGACTATGAGAGAGTCATCACGAACCGTTATTGTCGTCCCAGGTTTTCCTGTGTGTTCAGGTTTAGCACCTTGTTGTTTGGTAATCTGTGCACGTTTATGAATCCTTGACTCTTTGATAACCGGACGGACATTCTTGGGGGTAAACTGTGCGTCGAAATCACCAGTTGATTTCCATACAACACTTGGGATGCTCAGCATAGACGGTGACGCCTGGTTCTCTTGAGCTCTGTTAACGTGGGTCCAATCACCTACAGAATTTTTGGGGACCACTATCGCATTCCAGGTCCCTGAGCTGGGAGGCCCGAGTTTACTGAGTGAGTCTATTACCGTCGACATAATGATGGGGTTGAGTTTCAACGTGTCATCATTAGAGATATTGCATGTTCGTCGATGTTAGAGCTGTCGACATCCCTGTTCTTGTTTTCGTTGCGCGCATGTGTTTGTGTACCCGTTTTATGATTATCTTTTTCCAAGTTTCCTGACAACTTATTCCGCAGACCTGTCAATAGGACAATGATGTTATTCAGCAAGACTGCAGCATCAGTGCTGCACGTGACACATTTCCACCTATGATCAGACTTGCTGAGACTGTTGTAAGCAGTTGCTGTGAGATCTGTGCACGCTTCGTGAAACCAAATTTTGCAGTTGTCGCACTGCATGACAGATGTAACAGCGAAATAGCATCCAGGTAGTTTGCATGAATTTTTCATAACTATGAAGATGCCATAGGTATTCGGAGTTGGACAACGCTTTAACCAGTAACATCTTCTAACATGAATCGTACCCACCAAGTGAAATGAAAAGACAGAAGCGAGGAGGTTCGAAGGTATATTTGATGGGCTATCAATATATCGAGGATCGTCTGATCTAATCTGGCTAGCGGTTGCAGGGGTTGTTGAGCACGGCGTCCCCACTCGTGATCTGGTGCGGATGCATGACCGAGCGCCTTCAGCTAAGTGAGTCCATTGAAACTAATGTGATCAGCATCCAATGTCGAAGACTTACAGAGCTATTTATTTTGGGGATTTATTTACCGCCACAACTATATTGACGTAAGCTGTGTTATAGATGCTAGCGAAAGCTTAAAACTTTCAAAAATACACTTAAAAGCACACTGAAAACGGGCAAAAATGGATAGAAACGGGTGAGGTAAACTGAACTAGCCTTTACGTGAAAAACTGAAATAAAACCCGAGTTTTAAGCTGTGGCAAAAACATAGTTAACTATTAAATTGGGTGAAACTCGAAAAAAGTAACTTACCGAACGTATAGCTTAGAATATATTCTTTCGATCAGAAATGGTACTTTTGTTGCGTAAAAACACAATAACGTTAGGACCAAACTTCCCGTTCGAAAAGCGCACTTCACATGTTAGGCATTTCAGCAACCTAATGAACCCTAGCGGTTTGATGCTTGGTGAAATATTAACGCGATTTAGAAAATCTCGCTTTACTTTTGTTTGGTTAAGTTGCTATTGTTGGCGGGTTGTATCTGTCTGCTTGTATTGTAAATCTCTTCCGTTTAAGGCGTAATTTCAAAGTGATAACCGATTGATGAACGCAATAGTGTCATGTGATCCAGTAATGGATACTTATAAAACAGCATAATAGATTTTGGCCCCCAAATAATTCGAAATCATAGACAGGACCACTAAGCAGATGAATTTTCATGTAATAAAATAACGTCCTTGTATGCGAAATATAAGCTCAACATAATAAGCTGAACATAATAAAATGCTATGGGTGATTGGAAGAAACTAGCTTGCAGGTCACGTGTTCTTCAACCTGACTGTTAGGCTTAATCTTTGGACATAGTGTTATCCTGTGAAAGGAGTACTCCTTTCACAGTATACTATACTGTTCACCAGTCCAGTCGGAAAGAACTGGGAAGAGTCAAACCAAAATGTAGCATTAGTCCATGAATTTATTGACTGTTGATTCTTCAAAATCGTCCATCTTTATCCATAGGCATTCTCAATATCAGTGATACTACTATAGTATTCATCTTGGCAATTCCATTTAGTCCTGTTGATATGGTGTAGTAATTTGGGCCAGGTTCTGCGTTGTTTATGGCTAACTGACCTGTTGACATGTTTCATTCAAGCATTGCACCTATTATTGCTCTTTCGCATGAAATGAAGCTTAGTTGACTCTTTGTTGTTCTCTTAATTTTCGTACTTTCAGGTTGTATCATTTCATCTATTTTAGAATCGTCAACAGTCGAAGTGACGGATTTTCTATTGATACGCTAACTTTCGGCACAAACACATAGATGTAGCTTTTTTACCCCGAACACTTTCAAGTTTATTATCTGACAAGTTTCATAACGAGAAAATATGGTTATAACGGTACCGTCTTTAGATGATGGGAGTGGGAGCAATAGTATAGTAAGTTTGATTTTGTTATATGCTTTTTACACTGATAATATCGAGTACACCTCATTTATAACCTTACACTTCTATCTAATTAAACCTTTAATTCACTGGACTCAACTTTTTGCAGCTTGTTAAGGTTAAATGTTTATAGCTTGGATATTGTCTGTCATAACCAGGCAGATGTGGAGAAATAAATTGTTTGCTTTGTTTAATCTTCATCTTGTTCAAATATAAATCACTCATAGTTAACTCTCTCCTACCGTTCATCTTTTAGAAACTCTCTTTCTTCCATCAATGCTTTTACTTGGTAAAGATCATTTGCATTTAATATCTTTTTAAAATCCCTCATGTTTTAGAGGTTTAGCATTCAAAGTCAACACTATACAAGATTAAATATGAAAATTTTAGTTACATTAAGTGTATCAAGTTATGTTCTATTGTCAACGTATCTACGATGAATTGTAAATAAATTAGTGCGGTCTCGGGTTCATGAAACGTTTGTCTGACGGGCTTAGGTTAAAGCAAAAAACAAAGTGAGTCAGAAAACAATTAATTAAATTATCCAATATCTCGTAACATTAATGTGATCCTATTCTATATGTTAGGAATTTCAATGTTACATTGAGACTATTTGCTTGTCTCCCACAACTCACATTCCTGTTTTCTTGATTTTTACACTATGTCAAAGCAAGTATAATCATTTGTCTCGAACTATTAAATTCGTAGTTATAATAATGAAGCTTTTTTCCGTTGTAGAATTCCACCTCTATCCTTCCGGTAAGTTTCTAATCATAGATTATGTTTATGTACCATATATGTTCATTTATTACTGATCCTTTATCGAATTTCTGAAATCACATAAATCCTGACATAGGAAGGGACAAATGGAGGGAAAATATTGTTAGGAAACAAAGGAGAGAATAGTAGTACGGTCAGTAAAGAAATAACTAGAAATAGTATTTAGTAAGAGATACAGTTAAGTTAAAAATACAGCCAATAAACATTTCGTTAAGGTAATAGAGCCCACCTCACTATTATGATGGCTGTATTAAAAAACAAAAGCTGGAACACTACTGGCTACTATTTTGCATTATATCTAATAACCTGTCAATCCACTGAACTGCATCGTTTCTGGGACTCGGACAACACTCATGATGGATTGAAATTCCAATGTTATAAAACTATCACACCCCGGGATTATACTGTAATGTGACCCATTTTAAAGTGTTTATACGATTGTAATCCGTAGTTATTACTTGCAGGAGTTTTTTTAAATTGCTTTCACATTGCGTTGTTATCTAATATAGACTTTGGAGTAAAAAAAGTAGTTGTCAAAATCTCTGATTTAAAATTGGTTATGGACATGAATCCTAGAACTTGAAAGTAACGAACGATTCAAGGTATATGTCAGTAGTCGTTATGGAAATTGAATGAGACAAGTTTATTGACATTCCTATCAATCAGAATCTTGATTATAAGGCTTACTCTCAAAATAATTATCAACTGTGACATATGCTCGTCGTATATAGTATCATGCTTTCTACCTCCATTGCGGCATAAAGTCAAGCAATAAAGAGTGCACTCACACTGCATGTCTCGTCTGTTCCATAAAACGTTTCTTCAACTTAAGGTTTGGTTAACTTGCTTTAACTGTTCAAGTGAAGCTTAATTGTATCTGAACAGCTATCTCCTCATATCCCATTCACTGGCTCGTTAACGTATGCACAATATCATTTAACAGTTATTAAATTAAGAAAACGGCAAATTATCATTGTATCACGTAGCTACATACTTTTTATCATTTCAGCTAAATATTTTTTCTAACCAATACTTTCCACTTTTTTACTTTGAATCTAATCAACAGATGACTCAAGAACAGAAAGATTGGTTGTTAGCTATCGTTGACTGTGATCAACCGAAAATGACAAGAATGCTTAATCAACACCCTGAATTAGCTGTATGGAAGGTAATTTTCATTTACTTTATTTATATTTTGTAACAGCTAATGGTGAATATGTCAGTCAGTCAGTCAGTAACAACGTAGAACTTCGTACGTACGCACACCAGTTCGAGTTGCCACACCACACTAGCACAGAGATGCAGTTGTCGATTCAAATCCCGTAGTGGTAGAGGTAATAAGAGTATAAGCAGTAATCGGGAAGATTAGGGTTTGGAGATGTTATTTAAAGAGTATAATCCAGTGAAATAAATTTGGAAAGAGGAAAAAAGGGACATGAAGAATTCAGAAGATTAGAATTTGGGAGAACACAAAGAGTGGATGCACCTGCGCCATTGCAAACGATTTTGAGCCATGTCATTCAGGGTCTCTAACCATCGGTTGCTATCATCTCGCGGTCCCCAACCAGGTAGTCTACACCTACCAACATGACTCAGTTCACTTGTCAGTGACTTCATGGACTTGTGCCATGTTTTGGTTTGGCCGCCCCTAGCTTTCTTCCAACATACTCCTATACCACTGAACATAGCACGTCAAGGTAGTCGGTCGTTGGGCATACGTAACACGTGTCCCAGCCATCTCAACTGATGAAGTTTCACTACTTCATCAATTGATTTGCCATCCTTACCTAGTACCCGTTTCCTAACAACTGTTACTTACTCGATGGTCCCATGATATACGAGCAATGTTTCGAAGACACCTATGATTGAATACTAGTAACCTACGAATATCCTCTACTCTTACCGGCCATGTTTCACTGCTATAAAGCAGGATGGGACGAACTGCTGCGCAGTAAACACCTCCTTTGGTTGATAGACGGATATCTCGTCTACGCCATAAATGACGCAAGTTGGCAAAAGCTAGTCGAGCCTTCTGTATCCGTGCTGAGATTTCGTCACGCACCAAACCACAAGAGCTGATGAGACTTCCAAGATAAGTGAAGCGGTCGACACACTCTACTTCACTTCCTATCACTAGTTCGGGTGTCGATGTAACCCAATCCTGAAGCAACATTTTGCATTTCGAGGGAGAGAATCGCATCCCGAACATGCTTGCATTGTTGCTTAGACTGGTCAGAAGACTCTGCATTTTGTCAGCGTCTTCACCAAATAAAACTATGTCGTCTGCATATTCTAAATCAACAAGTGAACCTCCTGGTAGAAGTTCAACCCCTGGAAATTTAGATGAGGAGAGTGTTATCTCTAAAAGTACGTCGACCACAAAGTTGAACAAGAATGGAGAGAGTGGACAGCCCTGACTAACACCACTTGAGGTAATCAATTCTGATGAAAGTTCGCCATAAGCTCTCACTCTACCAGTTGTGTTCGAGTAGAGACCCTTTATAAGGTTAATGTACTTCTTTGGTACTTCTTTCAGTGACAAACACTGCCATAGAACCTCACGATCAACAGAGTCGAATGCCGCCTTAAGGTCGAGAAATACTATTATTGTGGGGCGTCTGAATGTGTGTCTGTGTTCTAGAACCTGACGTAGTGTGAATATCTGATCTATACAACCACATCCAGGTCGAAAACCGGCCTGGTTTTCTCTAGTCTGCTCTTCACGAGCTTTGATTAGGCGTCGAAGTATTATTGAAGCTAATATTTTAGACACTATATTAGTCAAACTGATTCCTCTGTGATTGTCACAAGAGGACTTTTGTCCTTTCTTATAGACTGGCACAATCAGTGATTGAGACCAGTCAGATGGGATTACGTCCAGTTCCCGAATTCTACCTTAGACCTCGGTTAATCTCATTGCTAATACTAGACCACCATTCTTAAAAATCTCAGAAGTAAACCTGTCAGGGCCTGGTGCTCTCCCTCGTTTCAGATTTCCTATGGCTTTTTCAACTTCGTAAAGGGACGGAGGACTTACATTAACTTGCCATTCAGGTTAACTAGAGATCGTGGGAAACCGAAGTGTGGCTGAAGGCCAGTTGAACTGATCCCTAAAGTGTTCTGCCCATCGATCCAATCTCCTGGATTGAGAATGTATAATATGTCCATCTTTCTCTGAGATTGTTTCGCTAACGGTCGGGTTCCTAATTCCGGTTTCCTTAACAAGTCTGAACAATTGTCTGCTATTACGTATTGCCGCTGCCTTTTCCATCTCTCTTGCTTTCGCTACCCACCACTGTTCGCGATCATTGCGTAGACTTCTTGTCAGCTTGCGCTTAAGCTGACTCCGCTCTTCATTATGTTCAGAGCCAGGTGGAATGAGTTTCCGAGCATCTATCAGTGCGATAGATGCTGCTGAGATCCAGTGTTGCTCCCTAACCTTCTGGTTTACCTTACTAGCAGATATCACTGCTGTTTCCACAGCTTTTCGGATATCATTCCATGCAGCCTCGGGGTGGGCATCACATACATGTCTGCCTAACTGTTTTCCTAGTTGTTCCTGAAATACACTCTTAGCTTGACTATCATTAGGTAGGCCCCTATGAGGTTTCGTTGCAGCGTCTTTCGTACGTCCAGTAAGACGCAAGCAAATACGCGCTCGCACTAGAGCATGATCTGAATCTAGGCATGTGCTCCAGAATGAGCGACGGTCTTCTATCGAGCCCCTCCATCGGTGGCTGATAGCGATGTGATCTATTTGGGTCCAACGTTGGGACGGATTAGGGGGTCGCCATGTTAAAAGATGTTTTTTCTTATGCTTAAAGTTAGTATTTGCAAGGAACAGGCGGTTATCTGAGCATAGCTGCAACAGACGGTCGCCATTATCTGTTCTTTATTATTTATTTATTTATTTGAACACATAAATATTGGTACAAGAGAGCGCCAATATATATGCGCCACACAAAACAATGGGAATTCGAAGAGAAGTAGAAAGAAAAAAAAACTAAGGAACGCAAAAGAAAAAGAGAGTAATGACGAAGAGGTACAATCAGAAGAAATCTTTCAGGTAAAGGAGACACAACCACTTTTTATGAAGAAAGTAAAAGAAGGTTACAGCAGGATCGCCACTGGCTTCTATTCTGAGCCATATCTGATAACGTCTCTAGCCACTGTGTAGCACCATCTCTCGGACCCCAACCAGGGAGTCGTGAAGGACCAACACAAGCCAGTCCTTTGCAGCTTTCTTTCATGCCATGACACCATGTCATGCACTGACCACCTCTCCGCTTCTTCCAACCAGTCCCAGAGTCGGCAAATAATGCACGACGTGGAATTCTCTGGGACGACATTCGGAGAACATGTCCAAGCCACCGAAGTCGGTGTTTCAAGATGGTGACACCAATTGAGTTATCATCTCTGTGCCCGAACACACGATGCCGAACCTCTGCATTACTGACATGGTGTTGCCACTGAATGTCAGCAATCCTTCGGAGACAGCGATGATCGAACACAGAGAGTCGTCTAACGTCCTCAACTCGGAGAGGCCAGGTTTCACAAGCATAGAGCAAAACTGCTCTCACCGACGCGTTGTAGATCCGACCTTTTACGGCCAGACTAACATCACGAAGGCGCCAAAGGTGGCCCAGATTGACATAAGCCGCTCTGGCTTTCACTATTCGTGCATTGATCTCATCACTCACACCCCCACCAGCACTTATGCAGCTACCCAGATACACGAACTTCTCAACTACGTCTATCTGCTCACCGTCCAGGGTGAGTACAGGATTAGAATCCTGCCAGTCTTGTAGGAGTACTTTGCACTTCGAAGGTGCAAAGCACATACCATACCTACGGACACTGATTGCCAACTGATTAAGTGCGGATTGCATGCCTTGGGCATTATCGCACAGTAAGACAATATCGTCCGCATACTCAAGGTCGAGAAGTCTTTCTCCAGGCAACAGATCCACACCACCATTACTTACATTCATCAGAGCTGTTTCCAGAATGTCATCGATGGCAAAGTTGAAGAGGAATGGTGAGATTGGGCAACCCTGCCTAACCCCACTGCTCGAATGGAACAATGGAGAGAGGTGGTTGTATGCCCTCACTCTGCCTGAGGTGTTTTTATACAGGGCTTTTAGGATGTTAATAAACTTCTCAGGCACACCCTTCTTCAATAGACAATCCCAGAGAACAGTCCTATCCAACGAATCGAAGGCAGCCCTGATGTCAAGAAACACTACGATTGTTGGCCTTTGAAAAGTATGGCGGTGTTCTAACATTTGGCGGAGGGTGAAGATATGATCAATACATCCTCGACCAGAACGAAACCCAGCCTGCTCCTCGCGAGTCAATCTTTCTCGGGTTTTGAACAACCTACGAAGAATGACGGAAGCCAATAGCTTGGACGCAATCGGAAGTAAACTTATCCCCCGATAGTTGTTACAAGAACGACGTGAACCCTTTTTAAAGATAGGGACAACTATCGACTCATTCCATGACGTTGGTACACTCTCTAGTTCCCAAACCTTTGTAAACAACGTCGTCAATTCCTTAGTCAAAAAGTCACCACCATCTTTAAAAAGAGCCGGAGGTAAGTCATCTGGGCCAGGTGATTTGTAACGCTTCAAGAGTTGGAGTTCCTTGCGGACTTCCTCCTCATTTGGTGGATCAGTCGTCACCGGCCATGGAGGGCAGGACAGTCTGACCGATGTTGCCGGAGCAGCAGGCCAGTTGAACTGCCCTTCGAAAAATTCTGCCCATCGTCCAGGACGTCGATGGATGTTAGTGATTGGCATCCCATCATCCTCGCAGATTGTTTCACTCACACCAGACTTCTTGCTGCCAGTGGCTCGGATGAGTTGGAAGAGCTTCCGGTAGTTACCAGATGCAGCTGCTGCTTCCAGCTCATTAGCACGCATCGACCACCAGGCTTCTCGGTCCTTACGCAAGCTTTGCCCGATTTCCTTACATAGCATCCTTCGTTTATGGTCAAACTCACGGTCACCCGGAGTAGACCGATGGGCTTCAATGAGTTGTAAGGAACCTGCAGAAACCCAGTGCTTAAAAGCGGGACGTTTCGCAAACCCACAACTGACTGTTCCCGCCATTTTCATGGCGTCATGCAATTGCAACCAATGCTCATCTATACTTTTCGGTGGAGTG